CGTCTGGGGATGTCGGCGCTCCGACATCCGAGGCACTCGTGGCCTCGTGTGGTACGGTGGTACCCACGAAGGAAGTGTGTCCGACACCTTCCTCTTCAGCTAAGGTCTGGGCGACCGTGTGCGGAACTCTGTTACCCACACAGGAAGCGTGTCCGACGCCTTCCTCTTCAGTTAAGGTCTGGGCGACCGCGTGTGGAACTCTGTTACCCACACAGGAAGAATGCTCGACGCCTTCCTCTTCAGTTAAGGTCTTGGCGACCGTGTGTGGAACTCTGTTATCCACACAGGAAGCGTATCCATCGTCGTCCTCTTCAGTTAAGGTCTGGGCGACCGTGTGTGGAGCTCTGTTACCCACTCCGAACACACTGTTCTCAGTGTTCGTGACAGCTACAGCTGTCTGCGGAACTATGTTACCCGCTTGTGGACCTAAGTTACCCACTTGGCCAGCGCCTCCTATGGGCGCTGCCACCATCAAAACATCCTCGGAGTCGTCATATACGTCGACGACGCCTACGCATCTGCCGGATGCTTTGGTACCCTGGCAACCCTTGCGGGGGCCCCGGGTCCTGACGAAGGTGGGAACATGACTCACCAAAGATCTGTCGGACTGCGCAGGGCGGCTGGTACCGATTGCCTTGCCTCGCCAGTCGAGCCAGGGCTCGTGCTTCTCAAGCCAGGGCATGCCCAGGATCATATCATATGAATCCATATCGAGAACAGTGAACTGTTCGAGGCTGTCAAAGTCTTCTGTCTTCAAGGGTCAAAACCTAATATCTCTGCCATTTTATTTTCTGCCCTGTGTCCTTCTGTTATTGTTGTTTATCTAGCACTACACGGAAACGCAACGTCTATTGCCCATATACATGCTGTTTTGACTCACTAACACCATCTTGACGGCCAGATCCACTTGGACGTTGGGGACAGTGACGACCTTCCCGTCGGCCCGTCGCACTGACACCGTCCCGTTGCCCTTGCTTTCTCTCACAGCATCGGACAGCTTGTTGCTATTCCGAGCAGCTATCTGGCGGCGTGCGAAATTTTTCGACGCCCCAGAATCGATCAAGATTCTGAAGGGGTGATCGTATCCTCGTACACATCAGTGTACTATGAGCAACCCGCCGCTGATCTTCGCCGATTCGAAAGTGCGAAGACTCTCAGAGACTAAGTCCCCGTGGTACGCGCCACCCGCGCACCCTTCACGAAGACTTAGTTCTTCCCCAGTAGGGCGCCCCGCCCCTACTGGTTCCCGGCTTTCCCCTATCCCCGGGATCCTGGCTTCTGCCAGCGACCCTTGAGGACGGGCTTGGGGAAGGACCGTCTGCGGAGTCTTTCCACGGGACAGTCGCGCTTGAAGTGGCCCATCTTCCCGCAGCCGAAGCAGCGGATGTCACGCTGTTCGGCGGACCCAAGTTCCATGAGAACTGGTTCGTTGGGGCTCGTTCGACCGGGAGTCGACAAGGAACTCCCAGGCCACGCTGAGGCCGGCGTACGCGCCTGGCGATGACTGTACTCTTCTTGGAGAGTCACTTGAATCGCCTCTTCAAGGGTGTTTGACTGCACCGGAACAGCTGAGTGCGTGCGGGACCCACCCGAAGGCCGTCCATGAACACAGTTATCTTGATGTGTTCGTTGAGTGGGTTTCCCACTAGGAACGCCGTGAGCTCCCGTATCTCTTGCACGTACTCGTGCAGCTCACGCCTCTCTTGTTTGCACGAGAGGAAGCGCGAACGCTGGCGGTACTCGTAGTTCGCCGGGAGGAACGCGGCTCGGAGCTGTTCATACAGCTAAGCCCAGGATGTGAAACATCCAGGGGATGTTGCCTCCCGTGTGTACACCCAACTCTTGGCACGGCTGCTAAGGTTGGAGAGTGCAAGAGCAACACGAAGTTGCTCGGTCGAGATCAGAGCCGCGTCCATCGCGAGCTCCACTTCTCGGACCCAGAAGTGAAGGTTATCGCCTTCCTTCCCTTCATACGGCTTAACCTTCAGCCGTATTGGCTTCGGGTGAGGCAGATTTGCTTCCGCCGCCGGAGCCTGCAGGTTCTCCCGCACATGTGCGATGAGCCCCTGCTCGTACGCGTCAAACGCATTGACGCGCTCGAGCTGCTCGGCCGGTGCTGACACCACCAGACTCTGCAAAGCCTCCATCCCGAAGATGTCTGTCATCTTCTGAACCGACTCGAACTGAGAGGCGTTCATATGGGAGAAGTCGTTCCTATCCATGGCAACGAACTTCGGAGAGGTTCAGGTAGTCTACCCGCGGTGGCGTGGATTGACTACAAGTGCTACCAATGGTGACGGGGTCACACAGCACGTTGCGCTAGAGGAAGTTAGCTTCCGAGAGTATACAAACTCTCAGAGAACGGCAGTTCACAGGTCCCCTCTTTATCTAAAGAGAGCGAAGTGGCCTTTTTAAGGTAGAATGTACACTGAGCATATTTATAGGTAGATAAAGCTTGGGTTTAGTACAAACTATAAGTCACATATAGAAATGCAATGTCATCAACCAATGGTTGGCTTTGGACGACCTTGGTACCTTGTACCAAATATCCCGAAGTATGACGTGTCACACTTCATATAACCAGGGTACACTTAGTGCTACGTACCCCGTTACAGCATGACAACGCTCAACACGGTTGTACTAGACCATTATCAGGAACAGGCCAGCAACTTCAGCAGCACGACGCAGAGCTCCTACAAACTTTAACGGCCTAGATCTCTTCTGATCTTCAGTGGAGCTAGACGTTAAGCTTAGAACATTGTGCGAGGAACGGTGTATTTTGTCCTATGTAGAGTGTTCATTGTGACGAGAAGGATGATCGTCGTCGCACCCGCATCTGCAAGCTGTTGAGCACCTCCTTCGGCGCGGTAGGGTAGCCAGTATTCTTCGTGGCTGAAGGTTGGACGGACCCGTAGTTGAGCTCTTCTGCGGCTTGAAGGAAATCGTCAATGGAGAACTGATACTTGTGCAAATACTGCATCACACACGTGAGCGCTTTGCGTTTGCCGCGGTCGCCTCCTCCATACATGTCGACAATTCGACCTAAAATGCTCTCGAGCTCACCAAGAGTGTTGTGCAGTTCCGTACCGTCTCCGCTGTTCCCTCCGTTCATGTTACCCGATGCGCCCATAGTCGAAGCTGCAAGTAAGCCGCTCCGTTCGCGCGCCTGCTTGATATCTTCTTGAACTAGAGATCCCAACTGCTTCACCGACGTGTTTTTGATGTGCATAATATTGTTGCGGAACTCGTAAATGATACTGTGAGCCATCTCTGGATAATGCATCGAAATCCGGTCAAGTCCAGGCAAGCTGAGTACAAAGAGACTCATGTACGTCTTGGCACGAATACTTGCAGCTCGCTTGGAGCGTGTGAGCATTGCGATTTCGCCAAAATAGTTTCCTTCGAGCAATGTCGCCACCACCTGCTCCTCATTGGTACCGGCCTTGAAGACGACCTCGGCTGCACCTCTGACAAGGAAGTACATGTGACGACCAACTTGTCCTTCCTTAAAGACGTACTCGCCTGGTGTGCAGAACTCGGGATCTAATATACCCATAAGGTAACTCACACATGCATCATCCTGCGTCGCGAAGAAGCTGATCTTACTTACCACATCTCGGTTTAAATGCAATACCAGTCGGCTTCGAAGATCATCGGAGAGTGCAGCTAAAATGGTTTCTTCGTTCTCATCGTCGCGCTGCAATAAAAATTATTCGTAGTATCGGCGAAGTCGCTCCGCTAGTGGCTGGGAGATTCTCCGTTCGCGAAGATAAGCCTTGAGATGGTCCATTCGAGTTCGGAAATTATCCGAGGATTCATTCAGCTCTTCAACAACACTGGACAAGGTACCAACCACGTATGTGAAGGTTGACGCTCCGATGAGAACTCCGATAGAAACATAGGCAACTTCAGCAATGTTGCGCGGGATAGTATCACCGTAACCCACGGTTGTCATCGTGGTTATAGCCCAATAGAGAAAAAAATGTACATATCGCCGTTTGAGCTTTGCTCTGCAGGAAAATCCGACTGGATACCTGAACCTCCGTCAGCACTACGTGCAATACGTGCAACTAAGAAATACCCGCAGGTTAATAGATGTGCGATAAAACCCACGCGAAAGATAAGACGCACAACGCGTGCACTATTGTGGTGAGCTGCAATCGCCGCTCCTAATGCTGTTGAGCTTTCTTCACGTTGAAGCGTGTGAATGAACTTAAAAACTCGCGTTAATCGGAGCAGCCGAAAAGAATTTATCAATGCGAGAACCCAAGACCCAGACGCTCCAGAAAGTTTTATCGACTCATGGGAGATAGCAACAGCCACCGATACTGGCAGTGCCGACAAGAAATCCATCCAGAACCAACCTCGCAGATACTCGCGCCACCTCGTGCGTCGCTCTAGGACAGTGTGAACGTCACCACGAATATCCACAGCCACGGCGGTACGAAAATTAATGATGATGTCCAGAGTGAGCATTATCTCGACCAAGATGTCCATCCCGGGACTCAGTGTTTCTCCATCAACACCTAGAAACGCAGCTTCATATGGGACAGCAATAGCGCAGTATAGAAGAAGTGTGCTTGTAAGGACGTCCCACATGAGCTTCGACCAATGGAAAAGGTTGATCGGCGTGAGTAGTTTCCACTTTATTTGCTGCCAAGCAGACAATACGTCGCCAGTCTTGGTATCCTGAGAGAGCAGCCAGATCATATTCATTTTCTCCGTGGCCGAATTGAAGACGGAGATCCCCATCGATAACTGAAGCTCGAGCGCTTGGAGTACTGGAAGAGGCAACGACCGATAACTTTTCAGTACATCATCAAGCAAAACTGTCGGAAACAGGTTTTCGAGTCCAGAAACTTCCGAGACTGGATCGCTATTGAGAGAGGCGATGTACACACGATAGCGAGCCAGCGTCTGTTCAAACACGAAATCGTACATTTTGCTGCGTTCTTGGTGATACTCAAGCAAAGTCTGCTCCGCGTCAGGGAATTCTTCAATTAGTTGGTCAAAATCTTCTTTCGGTAGCGTGAAAAGGTCACTCGTGGCCTTAGCAGTGTAAGAATTAGCATGTGGGGCATACTGAAGCAAGGACGCTTCGCCGAAAACGCCCCTTTCGGTCAGAACTTCCAGCACAATGATCCAATCAGCATGATCGGGGGATGTTCGTCGGACTTCAATGATACCAGTGTTGAGGATGAACATCTCGGTGCCAACGCACCCTTCTCGAGCTAGAATATCTCCTTTTATCACAATAAGGGGCTTGATAAACATCGCCATGTCCAAAACAAAAAGCGACCTTAGCTGCTGGAAAGCTGGAATGCGAAAAAAGGTATTCCTGTACGTCTCGTGCAGAATCTCGCCTCGAAGAGATAGTGAGAACTCATACAAAAGCTCGCATTCGTCAAAAGCACTAGTCTTTGCAATGTAGTGACGAAAGTACCGCATGAGTCTGCCTTTGAGGTTGCGAGGTAATCGCTTTTTGCGCACAAACGCTTGAATCATGCTGAGCTTGCGCGCACGAGTCGTAGTTTCGCGATACCAGTTTTCTAATATTTTGGTTAGACTGCCAATAATCAGGCCATAGCCACTGGCGCCCACGATTGATACTGCCATCGGGAAGAGTCTTTCGGTTCTATTGGATGCGTGAACATCTCCATAGCCTACTCCACACAGCGTCGCCACGACCCAGTAGAAGCTGCAAATGTAGCGATCCCGGACGCTCTTGTTACGTACATCAGTCTCGATCATCCAAGTGGTCCCTTCGTCTTCTGTCGTAAAGCCTATGAGGTGCCAAAAGCATGAGAAGATGTGTGTTACTAACAACACCTGGCCAATGAGTCTGGTTAGTCGAGCTAGTACAGCGTCAAGATCAAAAGCCTCCTCGACTTTGGCAACAAAGTGACGTAGCTTGATCAACCGTGTTAGCTTTGTAATACGTAAGAGGCGGACGAGTCGTGTGAGTCGCAGTGAGAGAGCCTGCGCGTTCGAGATGCTGTTACCATCATCGGTAGTATCTGCAGTATTTCCGCTGCTTTGGACAAAAAAATAGTCGAGAGGACAAACAGCCAGTACATCTGGAATAAACCACGACGTGAGATAGCGCTTCGCAATCAACCGACGATCTCGAATCATGTTCTCATCGTCGTCTGGATAGTATCCCACGAAGAAGTTGTGCAGGACGTCCAGAAAAATAATACATCAGTAGAAATCCCAATCGTTCGTATAGTGGTGCCTAGCTGTACCTCCGGAAAGCCCATTTGCAAGGGCACGACGATGGCACTGTACAGAACAACAAACATGACAAGGGCGTCCCATCTCAGCTTTTCGTTGCTGCGTGGATCGAGCAGAGGTGGATCCAAGATGAATCGTAGAGGTCGCTTATAACTGTGATATAATTGCGCCATCCAGATGAGAGCTCGAACACGTCTGGTCGGGGGTCCTGGTTGAGTAGCCAAAGCTGAGCGCTGCTTGCGAAGAGGTGGAAGAGGTCTTCCATCTTGCTGTGAATTACGTCCTCTTGAGTCTCGGTTGTTTATCGTCATCGAAGACATCGACGAAAAGCGATCAACCGATCCGAGACGCGTGGGACTGTGGCTGGGTACTGGAATCGAGCCTGACAATGATCCTCTCCGAGTTGACCCTCGGTCTAAACCAGCTAGCGGGGGAACTCGAAAGCTGGGACTGTCTGAGCGATGTATTGCATCTTCGGGTGCTGGAGCAACTTGTGATCCATTTTTACTGAAAAGATTGACTGATAAAGGAATCCGCGGTCTTGCGTGTTGAGCTAAAGAGCTCTCAGGTCCTATAGAATTAGTGTCGTGCTGGTCGCTTTGGCTCATCGTTTTCTGCTATCGTCATGTATGCTCATAGAAGATGGAAAATCGTCGTCGCCGTGGTTGCGTTGGTTCCTCGCCAAAAGCGATTGAGCTACTTCGCCAGCTCAGTGATGCAAAACAATCTGTTTCAATAGGCAATTTCCATTGAGTTCTTCTAACGCTGCAACCGCTGCTCTTGCTGTCGCTGCTGTTGAGCAGCTGCAACAATTGCAGTGTCGCAATGTGACTGCACACGACTCTCGTAGCCCTTCCACACTTGGCAAGTGAACGCTAGCTCTTCCCGAAAAGAGTCGCTTTTCTATATTGCAGCACATTGCGCTTTATCAGCAAAATTGAAAACGACAAACAGAATATCAACCGAAAGGCCGTTAAAAAAACGCCTACGCACCTCGATTTGCGTGTTTATTTCCTTGATAACCTCGTGGAGGCGAGCCACAGACCCGGTAATACGCTGCAACAGCGCCTTCTGCTTCTCTTCGTGAGGATCTGTGCAGTGTGCATGCACTTGTTAGTCGTGTTGGCCCATATGGACGGAGACGCTGGAGTGCGTACTCTGCATGACGGCGGGTCAGTTCAAAAATGCCAAGGATAACACGGATTGGCTAAAAACATTTTTATCCAGATGGCTACACATTTTGTACGTGTATACACAGTTGTATACTTCTTGTCTGATTACTCAGGCGGAACGATGGCGCTAAATGGTGGCGCAGCATTTTCCAATGGCTTTGGCTGGGCCAGAGACTTCTCTAGTAATGTCAAAATTGTCTGTAGCTGGATTTCTTGACGACTTAATTGCGCTTGGAGCTGAAGCTGCACGATGAAAGATGTCAGCTTTCGTGGCATGAATCAAGAGAAATAATAAGGAGCGAACCTGTGTTGCATTGAGCCTGTCAACTTGCTCTTGAAGACGCACAACAGGGGGCGCAGGAGCTATAAATGATGAGAAGTTGTGCGGTGTTGAGAAGCTTGAAGCTCGAGCTGAAAACGACTGGGTTGCTCCTACTGGAGAGTCCAATGGGGAGTCCGGATTGCCTGTGTAGCATACGTAAGCATCCGTAGTCAACGTTGTGAGACTCAGCGAACTTACCTGTATATAATATATTGCTGGAGCTCAGTGTACGTAGCTCTCGTGTCAGAGACGTTCGAATTGACTCCTCCATTGCTAGCTCATTCTTCTGTTCCTGCTTCTTGAGCATTACCTCAACGAACCCACTGCCGAGGATAGCACCTAACAATACGAGAATCAAATTGGTGCGTAAATTAGATATTCGACACACGTGAAAACCTTAGGATGATCCTCTTTACCAGGAATTGTGAAAAGAATGATGCCCCACAGCGCCAGTAGCGACGAGAATGCGCGGCCCGCAGCAGTAATGGGTACGATATCGCCATATCCGAGAGACGTTATGGTCTCGATAGCCCACCACGAGCATGTGCCGATGCTTGTGAATACTTCCGGTTGCGCCGGATTCTCGAGGAAAAAACTATACTCATACAAACACATCCAAGTTAAATATCATCACCATGCATGATTAATTAAGAAGCTTTCACAGTACTTCAAAGTTCCTCTATAGATTGAGAAATAACGTACATGGTAGTAGAGGACGTTAGCACAATGACGATCGTCAAGTAGCTCACGACCGCGAGTTCTTCCTTCTTTAGTGCAAAAATCTCTCGCAGATTCTTCATCGCTTGATAAGAGCGTTCTAAATGCAGGAACGACATAATCCGCAACAATCGAAACCCTCTCAGTGTCATAACACCTCGCGACGACACAGCCAATCTACACAAACGGCACCACATCGTTAGAAATTATATATCTCCATTACTTAGCATCACCGTACTGATGCTCCAGCAAGATCTCTAAGTAGAACGGAATAAGCACCACGAGGTCAATCACCGACATCGGCCGAAGCATCCATTTCAACCTATAACCCCCACGTAATAGCATTATTTTCACTTTTCGCAAATGTCAACATGTATCCTTCAATATCTATCCCCACCTTCCGCAGAATGGATGAGTGTATCGCTTGTCTTCCACGCACGACCAGAGCCGCATCATGTACTCCACTGTGAACAGCGCCGTTGATACGTACAGGAACACTTCGTACCAATCCGACTTTGTCACCGCTGGGATTACATCCCAAATTACAGTACAGTCAATCGCCAAATCCTGTCCCAAATCCTCTATGTAGCTTCAACGTACGCTCTGGGCCAAGCGGCGAGGCTGACACGTACATGGCCAGCACTACATTGAGTGTGATGAGCACCAGTACGCACACCTCGAAGACATACGATGCCCGTTGCAGTCCCGAGCGCTGCTTGAGCGACGTGCGATAATGCAGCAGTGTCCAGACATCGGCGCGCAATATAGCGCAGGAGCGACCGCGATGTACTTGCGTGACCCGCCGCTTGGGTGTTGACAGGATCGCATCTCGTACAGATAGCTGCACGTCAACGTCGTCGCACTTAGGTAACAGCTGCTGCTGCTCGCCTCCCGCCATCGATATCGATGTAAGATCGGTGAACCACTAGGGTTACCAATTAAACAATAATGATGAAAAATCAAATTAAAAATATATGAATCTCATTATCAAAAATCTAAGTGATTTGTTTTAAACCAAGTTTGAGATGCATTTTTTCTATTCATCTTATTCGTCTGCACAGTATTGTTCTTCAAGCTAAGCGAAATTAGGGGTTAATGGCGCTACCATTGCCAGCAGCGTGTGACGCCTCCCCGTTCGTCGCGAACATGACGTTGGGTCCTCTCAGCATCGACTACGTACACATCCACTATTGTTCGCTTGCTGAGCTTCCGTTTCTCTCGTTTTCGCTGTTAATCCTCTGGCTTGGTGGTCTTTTCTACTTCCGTACGTCAACAAGATATTTCCCAATCTCTTTCTCGCTCTTAACGCACATGTCATCCTGTATGCAGTTGGTAGCACAGCAGACGGCTATTTCTCGCCGACCCTGGCGAGTCTCAGCGACCGGCTTCGAGTTCCTCACGACGTGGCGGGTGTCACCTTCTTGGCCTTCGGTAATGGAGCTCCTGACGTCTTCTCGGCTATTGCAGCGTACAGCTCCGGAGTGGGGGAAACTGGGGTCAACGAGCTACTGGGTGGAGCCATGTTCATCTCTACTGTGGTCGTGGGAGGTGTAGCAGTTGCCAGCGCAGTAAAAGTGCAACGTTGGGCGTTTCTACGAGACGTTGGAGCTTTGATCGCTTCTCTGATTCTTTTTCTTCTGCTCGCTATGAGCAATAGTGGTGGAGATTTGGGGGAAACGGCAGTAGCTGCATTGGTGTTCCTCGTGATGTATGGGATTTATGTCGGTAGTGTGGTGCTCCCAGCGTGTATAGGGAGGTACAGAGCAACGCAAGATGAATTTCACGACTCAAAACTACTGGAGAAGACGTCGTTGATGATCTCAGCCTTTTGGCATGCTCTATCACCGAGAGGAAAGGATGCTACAAAGAGAGACAGGAGGCCGGAGCAACAGGAACATCACTATGACTTTATTACGAGAAATGAAACTGGGATGAACGCTGAGAGCAGAGTAGAACAAGACGGTGTCGGCAAGTCAACGGAACTCAAGGAGATTGAGATGTCTGCGCCCGGTGAAGTGGCCGGGTTAAGGTTTTCGAGTCGAGTGTTTGACGATCATTTTGATGTTGAGGAAGAGGATTCCCTGTCTTCTCCTCTGATTGCCGACGATGAACGAGATACAGATGATGACGAGCGGATTATTCCGGAATGGCAGCAGCATCTTCGCTGGAGATGGCGACTTAAGCGTCGTGTTATCCGGATATTTAAAAGTGACAAGCCACTTCTGGTTAAGGTTCTCTACCTCCCACAAGCGACGCTTCTTTTCCTTCGAGATATCACTGTACCTCTCTTCGACGATGAGTCGTGGTCACGTCCCATGGCGTGCTTATCACCGCTAACTGTTCCGCTCTTGGTTGCGCTGACAAGCGGGTATGCTGATGTTGATATCTCCAGTGGGAGGTATCCACACCGTGTCCCGTTGTGGCAAGCTCTTGTAGTTATGGGTAGCTGCGCATGCGGTGTCGTCTCGTTCTTCACTCATCGATCTCATGCTCCACGGTCGCTTAAGTCGTCAGCTCTGTTACTCTCGCTGGCTTTCATTGGTTGCGTTTGCTGGATTTACGCTGTGGCGAACGAGTTGATGGCGCTACTGGTGGCTGTGGGCTACATCACTCACGCTAGTAACAGCTTGTTGGGGCTAACTGTACTTGCGTGGGGGAACTCTGTGGGAGACTTCATTACTGACGTATCAGTGGCTCGAGCTGGCTTTCCGCAAATGGCTATCGCTGGTTGCTTTGGTGGTCCAGTGTTCAATCTTTTGCTCGGATTGGGGCTGCCTATGGCTTTCGCGTTCGTGTCTGGACGTAGTGAAGATCTCTCTTTGGACGTTCATGCTTGGATATCCATGGGCTTCCTTTCTGTTTCTCTCGTGGCGTCGTTGCTTGTGTTTCGACACTACAAGTATCATTGCCCGGCATGGTATGGCAAAGTTCTCATGGTTTACTACGTCATCTACTCTCTTGTCAATGTTCTTGTTGCTTTGCAAGTGAGGCTGACGTAAGATCTAATTTGCGGTTCATTTTAACTTGGTGAAAGAAAGTCAAACGGCATCTTTAAGCCATCGGAATACAGGGTCGGAGTTTGCACTCGGTCCATCACTTAGGCCGTCGTCGAAGTCGTCATGTCTCCGCCTAACGCCATCGTAACTCTCGAAGGTCGTCTTGTTATTGTTCGTCGGTCGGTCTACAGTCTCGTGGCGTCCACCAGGAAGGCTATGAAGGTATACAGTCAATCGTCAACACACGATTCCACTCATATATTCCATTTCGGCACTTACTGTTTGAAATTCCACTCGAACTTGGATCCTTTGGCGCCTGAACATTTACAACAACCACCATTATCAGCTGCTATCTCCTATCAACGCAGTTGATTGACTTCGGTTATGACGTACGCGGTTCAGGATCTGGAGCATCATCTTCAGTTTCATCCCACTCAGGCCGAACAGTCTTTGTGTGAAGTGGACCATAGTCACCTAGCCAGCCATTGTAGTCTGCGTAGTACAGTGAACAGTTAGTGCACATGCGAAAATCTCCTCTACATGCAGTTTCATACTTCGCCTCGGTTGCTTTAGTCGACTCTCGGATCGACGTCGAGTTTCAGGTGCGGGCTTGCATCCTAAAAAAGAGCTGTCTAATGCTGCTGTTCCGTACAGTTCCACTTTCAGTGGGTCCTTCTGCGCTAAATGCTGGTCGGATTCACTAATGTGTACCAAAATATTGCGCAGTTAGACACATTAAATGTTATAGTGTAACATACTTTGAACTCACGAGTTTGGCTGGTTTTCACGACCAAACTTGTCCATTAGAGGACTCTTCATGAAGTCGTCCACAATTTCCAACGCAGCAGCACCTTCGACAGTATAAAGGTATGGGTTAGCACGGACAAACTAATACCCTCACACGTATACAACGTTTTAGAGAGCATACCTTTTGTAATTTCACTGATAGGCATCTTCTTGGGGCCAAGTCGCCTCTCACGAACATCCTGTAGCTCTCGTCGCGCATCGTACTCAGCCAACCGAGCTCTTGCCAAGGTCTCTGCCATTCTTTGCGATTGTGTCTTCTTCACTCGCAGAACCTTTTGGCGTCTAGCTTCCAGCTCAGGTTGGATCTTAGATTGTACATGCTGAAGCGAACGCGGCATCTGTCGCTGCTGAGGTTGTGGGTGCAAAGGTCGCTGCTTCCTCTCTGCGTCCATGCGTGAAGGACCCTGTGACTTCGTGTTGCCCATTGCAGCACGCGGGGTGCTAACACTTCGCCTTCGAGGTTCCGACACTGAAGCCTTAAGGCCATAAATGCTCTCCTTCTCGTTCACAGCCAACGCTTCATCACTGCCACCTTTGTCCTCATCCCCAGCATGTCCCGTTCGATGCGATCGCCGTACGCATTCCGCGATATAGGCAGCCAAAAACTCAGCAAAAGACGTCACAGGCAACGCTAACGCTGGAATCGCTGTAGGTACCTTCCTCTGGTCAACAGAAATAAATTTTTCCTCCAGTTCTTGCCTCGTATTAATCTGCGCTCCTTCTCTCCCTGTGTAAAGTTTCCACGCCAGGTCCACGAACTGCTTGCCCAATAATTGCGTGTGGAAGTCAATTTCATCGAATGGTGGTGGCAGCGAATATAACGCGCTGCCACCGGTTGCTGTTCCTGTCTCGGAGTATTTCACCGTCTTCTCCTTTGCCTCAGTTACTGCCAACGGATCTGGAAAGTCTAGTATCTCTTCTTCTCCATCTCGCCATGAGTGCGACGGTTTCGTCCGCACTTCCATTGGTAAGCGCTGCAAGGTACCAGTTTCCTTTTCAATGGGCTGAGACGCATTGCGCACGTAGAAGTCCCGGGTTTTGGCTGTGTCATAGCTTGTGATCGCGCGCAGCTCGTTGCAGCTGATGCCTTTGAGCGAGAACGTATGTGCTAGACATTGCACTCCATAGCAGAGCGTGATCTCGAGGATTTCCTGGTAGCGACTCTTCTCGCCCTCAAAGTTGCGTAAGAACGTTTCCACAGCCCGCGAGCCGATCACAGCTCGCGCCATTGCAATTCAAAATCAAAAATCAAGGTTTTGTGATTGTTTCGTTTTTACTCCATAAAATACAACTGTTACCTAAAAATCTTGAATTGAAAAGGAAAATCATGGAATGACATTTTTTTAAGCTTGCAAAAACTTGAAAATGTCATTTTGTTGAAGTTGCATGGCATTATGTCACAGCTGCAGCAGAGCTGTCTGGGTCTTCCGTATGACTACTAGGTTCCTTTTCTTTGTCGTTGGGATCACTGTTTGGTGGAGTATTGGTGCTGCTTGTTGCATCGAAAGAGGCGAACTCGGTCGCTGCCAAGGCGCTGGACGGAGTGCTGTTGGCCCACTTTTGGACGCATCCGTGTGCCAGCACGGAATGCTGCAACTGGGTCTTTAGAAGCTGCACCGGGCCACTTTTCTGTCCGAGATTCACTGGGTCTGATACGACAGAGGGCGAAGAAGTGTCTCCTGTGGCACGTGCGAGCGCATTCGACAAGAAATCGTCCGCTGCAGCCCCATACACCTGGGTAGAGCATGACAAAAGAGCATATTCATGTTAGTGTGGGCTGTGTTAGGGGTGACTTTGCTGAAGAGTCTTACCTTGCGAGATAAAGGGACGAGATTGAGCAGCATCTGCACCGTTGTATGGAGTTGAAGTGTCATGGATTGGTGGTTGCGAGCCAACAACTGCGCTTCGAGTTGAGCCTCCTTCCTTTGCTGCACCTCGTTCGTCATCTGAGCTCGCAGCTCCTCCATCTTCAATTGCAAGTCGGTTCGATCCTGATCAGTGTCTCGAAGCTGAGACTTTGTTGACAGAAGCGTGTGACGCAGCAATGAGTGTTCCTTCTTCATAAACTCAAGTTGCTCTTGGGCGTGCTTCTCGGATCGCGACCCCTTTGATCCATCAGCGAGAGCAGCCTCAGTCTTCTGTTGTAGCGCTTTTCCAACGAAGGTGTGTGATGACGCTTCAATTGTTGTAAATGGAGGTAATTGAGATCCGTCTTTGACGTGCTACGATGACAAAATGCAAATTCGGTAAGTGAAGTTAGACCCACACCCGTTTGAGTAAATGCAAACGAACCAGAAGTCGATCAATCTCCCAACGATAGATTGGGTTTACGACAAGTATTCGCTGCAGAAATAGACGAAATTCTGGTGCGATCTCGTCAATGAGAGGCTCAAGTACAGCGTCCGTAAGCGAGCATATCAAATGTTGTCCTTGCTCATGACCGATAGACGAGCTCCACGGAGCCAATCGCTCGAGTAGAGTGCTTCCTGTCAGCAGTTGATAACTAGCAACGCGCAAAAAAAACAATACGTTATCGATCATTCAGCGAATGGTCAATTCATTCGCACGTACACAAGGCAGCCAAATTGCCACATATCCGAGGCTTGAGTCGGTGAAAACTCCTCCTTAGCAACAAAAGCTTTGGCGGCTTCTGGTGGGCACGAATTTAAAGCAATGGCTCGGAAACCAATTGGGCGTTCCTGGTAGAGCTCTCGGCTGGTGCTCATATTGTACAGACAAAGCCCCCGATCGTCAAACTGTCCAACATTTTGCAGCGTCTGGAAAACATAAATGTCAGTAAATTAGTGAAATAGATTAGAAGACGACAACGTACAATATTTCCGTGAACTATGCGTGCATCACAGTGCCAGAAGTGTAGGCAGTTGGCAAGTTCCGTAGTAATAGCTCGGACTGCCTCTGTGTCGCAAAGTTTTTCTGCTTTCAAGCCGTCCAAAGTATATAATGGAGCTGCCGTCACAAGGGCGTAGTCTAACATAATAGTTGCATCGCTTCTCGTATTCACAGTAGCGCTACGTGTTAGCATAACATGGTCGATTTGGTCACAAATACCTCAGGTACAAGCGAACGGCTTTAAACCTACCCGTTGTGATCTTCAGGTGCAGTATTCGTCCTGCAAAGCGTTAGTCGCCTCTTAGCGTTTTCGAATGTCTCGTGCACGATCGGTGCGTAATCCACATGATCGGCTCGTATCTCAGCCTAACGTAGACGGCACGAATACATAATTGAGCGACCAAGAAAGGTTTCTTGCTGCAATAACAAACGTACCGCTGTTTTCAGTCGACAAATCAGCTTTTGTTCATGCTCGACAGAGGCTTCCAATGAGTAGAAGTTTACGAGCACATTGGTGCCCGTGTTGGAGTCCATAGCCACATTGGTTTGGGCATACACCAGCTCACCACCTTGAGTAAAGCAGACGCACTCTCCATTGACATTCAGGAACTCGTATCGGTGGCGATAGGATGCTGGTCCACAAATTAGTAGTAGCGTGATTTCAGGTGTTGAAGACGGATTGTCCACCAAATACTGAACAGGTAGCTTAAAATCCTGCAAGAAAATACACCAGTAATAAGCGCATGAATCGATTATACGAGATCTACAGTAGAAGACGTACCCGGTCTGCCACCAGCGCTGCACTTGGCCAGCTGTCGAAGAGGATTTCGATCAAGCGTGATGTTACTTTGGTGTTGCTGCAAAGATAATGCAGGGGTGTTCTGTCATCCTGTATGGAAGATTAGTGCATGTCGATCAGTAAAGCTGTCTTTGCAGAATACGGTACCTTGTCAGCTTGACGAGGAAGGTCATGAACTCGATCGAACAGAAGCCAAAGCAGTTCCGACGATACTGCGTGATTCATGCACAAGTAATGCAGTGGTGATCGCCCGTGCTACGAAGGAGAACATTTGATTTGTTTTGATACTGACTGTGCTTAATGAGGTAGCAGAACAAAACCTACCACATCTATAATGAACGAATCTTCACTACACATAAGCAGCATTGTTCGCAACAGCTCGGTAGAGATTGCCTCGTTCATACAGAGTAAATGCAAGGCTGTAGCTCCGAACTGAAGCATGTGAAGAGAAAAAGATAATTAGATGTTCAACCGACAATCGCCACAAAGCATACTTGTTACCTTGTCAGCTCTGGCACAGGAGGAATTGTCGTTGTCGAACGAGAAAAGTTCCGTCAGCAAATCAACATTGCAGCTTTCGTTCGAGCAGAGGAAGTGGAGCGGGGATAGATCATTCTGCCGTAGCAGAACAGTCAGGCTTCATTAGATGTAATAATTCATATAATAAGAGGCTGCAACAAACCTTTGCAAGAGCGTGTATGCCTTCGGGGTATGTCTCAAGTGCCAGATGGAGTAATTCACACGTAACACTTTCGTTCTGACACAAAATGTGAAGAGGCAAGTCCCCATTCTGCTCAAAACAAGCAAGAAATGTCAGGATACAGTCACTAGGCAACAGAAGATTTATAGTATATACTCGTACGACATCAGATAGAGAAGCTGCATCAGCAACCGACGTGAGCAGCAATCGATTTATGCTCGGGTCCAATTCGTGATCTTCACAAATCCAATGTAGAATAGTACGCCCCATCTGTTCGAAAGAACAGAATGATTATTTGTTGGAAAAGACACGAATAGTCAAACAAGTTCTCACCAAGTCCCTCATTAATGCAGTGGAAGGGAAAGACTCAATCAGATACTGAAGTACGGTCTTATTTAGAGGACCATCAGCAGTCACCAAACAATGCAGTGGGGTTTGTCCTTCCTACAAAAGTAGCAGTAGACTTAACAGTCAGAGCCACCAACGCGGCTTGTTGAGGAGTCATTCATCATACCTTGTTCAATGTCGTGTAGACAGAAACGTCAGAGACCAGCTTCTTAATTAAGCCAATTTCGCACGATGAATTGCGACACAAGCAATGAAGTGGCAGATCTTCACTGTTGTCTTGCATGAGCGAAAGAGCTCCGAGTGATTTTGCGAATACCCCAAGCGCTTGCACCGTCACACATGAATTGTCACAAAGAATATGCAATGGCGTTCGTCCGTTCTGTAAGAGATATTCCAGAAGTTAGACAGCGTAAAAAAACACTTGTCCATCGTGATCTTCTACCTTGTCAACACAGTGGACTGACTCCGGGTACGTATTTGTCATCATGGTCATCATGTCAACATATCGATAAGTTGGCCGCAAGTTGCACACATGATGCAGTGGCAGCCATCCATCCTTCCCCACACGACAAAGATCTATCAGTCCACACATCTTTTCATCAAACGTCCACCTCAGTTCTACGCACAGTGTCACTTCGTCGCAGTACACTGGGGTCTTTCGCCAGCGCATCCAGCATTTTCTCCTTATCCTTCCGAGCCACCGCATCGGTGAAAAGATCCGCACCCGGGTCAGAGCTGGCAACAGTTTGTTGTCTGCCAGCTCGTAGTCTGCTACTCGTCATCATGGCTCGCATGGACTTGCTAATAGCGTTGGAGTATGCTGCACCCGACCAGAGCGGCACTTTGACGCCCCTGGGCGCGAGCTCTGCGTCAGGATCTGCGTCCGTCGCCTCCATCATGTTCATCATGATTGACAACCAGGCTAAGATCTGCACCCTTTCAAGATCGCGGGAAATGATTGGCGGAAAATGGAGTCCTTAACGATGGACTGGTGCGTGGCGATCCGCCGAATTGCAGCGAGCTCAGCTGCGATTCAAAGCACTGACGAGGGCGCTGACGATGAGCTGAAGACGTTGCTGGGTTTCCTGGATCATGAGGATGTACTGGTGTCGTACGCTGCTAAGGAGGAGCTTTGGAAGATCCTAATTAGCGATAGAATCGGGCGTGTCAATAAGCTCGTGAAGTGAGATTTAATCCTGAAATATTGACGGTGTTTATTAATTCAAGATCACTAATGGCATTGTATCCATCTTTACTTATGTTTTTAGAGTTCTTTTAGTACCGCCACCTACGGCTTGGAGAAGAGAGTCTGGTGGCTTTCGATTTCAATTATTGCGGCAGCTCATTAAGACAAAGAATGGAGCAGTGGCTGGGGAAGACGGAAGTGAAAATGGGAGCAGTGACGAGGAGGAGGAGCACCCTGTGGAGTATTCGTATCTGCATGAAATTCTGAAGAATTTACAGCAGATGAGAGCTATGGTGAGAGGTGTTTTCGTACCTGCGGAGTGCATGCTAACGACATCATCTCACTCGATTCAGCTTGAGGCTTTAGTGTTTATGAGCGACTTTGTGAAACGACTTCATGGATTGAATATTACGAAGAGTGCGTCCGAGAAGGAACTAAGCGAGCTGATGATTGGACTCATGGAGGATGTCTTTGTGACAATGGACTACAGTTCACAGCCGACATTTGTATCGAGTGCGGTCCTGAGTCTTCTGGGTGATTTCCAAGAGCTGATGACGTATTGGAATCATCAGACACAAGTTGATACAGACAATCACTTGGAAGTTGTGTACTTGAAGTGGCTGGAATGGTGTTTGGTTTGGCTGAAACAGTCCTCGTGTGTGTCAACGGCGTTGCAGCTCTTCAATGACATCGAGTCTTTAAGCATGGCAAGTCAGAAGGCATTCGTTGCAAGTGTAAGTCAATACTCATTTCTCCAGCAATGGTTACTCTATCTGAGTCGAGTGGGGGTCGCCTTTATTGAGGCATCACTGACTCAAACAAAGAGACCGGACAGAGAAACGTTAAAAGTACCCGCTCTGATGACATCGTGGACGCAGCAGAAGTTGCCAACTCGACAGCAGCTTTTGACAGTGCTCGCTGAGCAAGACGATGTGATGATCGAAGTACTTAATGGCCTCACTCAGATGGCATCGCTTGTCAGTGACGCCGACGATACCCTTACTCACCGACACTCGTCATTCATTACGCCCCTGACTACCGACTATGACCCGGACTTGCTTTTTGCTGATCTGGTGGACACGCTTGGGCGGGACCACTTGGTGCTTCTAGACCTTCTCACCTCAAACGGTAAGACTGCAGCTTGTACACGATCAGTAACCGAGCTCTTACTAACGACTTTGCTACTGCAGAAACACAAATGCTCGAGTACTTGATGCGATATTTGCGGCATTTTAGCACGCACTGGAACACCAGCAAGCGAAAACTGCAGACTGAAGACAGACTGGAAGGCGTGATGAGCGTACTCATCCGATTGCGACTAGAGATCGATCGACTCGTGGGCGCGGACCTATTTCCATACGGTGCAGGGCCACTGACAAGGCGATTGCTGGCAGTCGAACAGCTTTACGAAGAATTGGGTCATGAGGATGCAGAGCAATTATAATTTATTTGTTTGTTAGAGATTTTCTGCGCGGCTTCGAGGAAGCTCGGCACGTAACGAGTTAGGCAAATGCAAAAGGTACTGGAAACGAACGATAATGGAGAGGTGCACGCAGCGAGTGCAGGAGCCGCAAGGAAGCAGCCATCAGGAGAACCTGGACCAGAGATACCACTGCGTTGCATCTTAATGTGTCGCGTCTTGGCGCTGTAGCCGCACGAGCGATCAACGCGGCCGTCGAATACCTTGCGAGCGGCGACTGAGCTTGGCTTCCAGTTGGTCCTCCATGTAGTGGAATTGCTGGACCATCGAAGGCAGCAAGGGCTCTGAAATGATATGAAGCCGATGAGATTCATGTGAGTACACCAGAAAATCCGATCAAGCAAAGCGAACACCTACCAAGCTCCTGCTTTTGACTGCGCAAGATTGCCGAGTTCACTTCGTCAGCCACACGACGGCGTTGGGCCTGTTCCAACAGATGGCCGAGAGGCGACTCGGACGGGTTTTTGAACGCGATGACGGACATCGTCCGTTCGATCTCGTGAAGGAATTGGGGCTGCACACATCACAGCGTTAGTCGCCATCATTCCACACAGACGCCACTATGTTCATTCACTCACACTCTTTTGTCCGAACGGTGCGAGGTTCTTAATGGCAAACTGCAGAGCCTCTTCAATGTCGTGGACCTTGATCAACTCGATGAGCTCCTGCTTAGCCAGCAAGAAGTCCATGCCGCTATTTTTCTCGAGGAACTCGGGGTCCATATTGGCCAGTTTGCCACGTGCCTTCTGGATCTGACCCTTCAGTAGCAGTTGCTGGATGCTCATTCGCTCCTGCACCGACTGCAAGTCCACGTGGGCTTCTCAACATCGAATTAATAAGTTAGTCCAAGTTGAAGTTACCAAACCACCGGAAAAAGTCGAAAACCACTCACGTTTAGTGCCGGAATCGCGCCAGAATGCTTCGGCCACTTCTCGATATCCTTTGCCGACGAGATAGTCCATCACCAGACGGTTCATGGATCTGGCAAATGTATATTTTAACGTCAGTGCAACGGAAAAGCTCGAGAGAGTTGAAGAGCGGGACGCACTCCTTGGAGATCCGCATACGCCGGCGAGAGCTGCGTTTCTTGTGAAAGCGACGCTCGTTGGTCGGTGTACCGTCAAAACCCACGTCCGCTGCCGCGCCGAGCTGGTGGTTGGAGCTGCCGAGCGTGATGTCGCGCTGCATAGTGAGCAATTGCGAGCTTGAAGCTGTGGGCGCGAAATCCGAACTGGGGTCGCGCTCTTTTTTTTCTTCCAGCACTTAGAGGGTAGGGTACAAAGATTTCAACCAATTAAAAAGGGGCTTGTGGTGCACACCAAAATTCTGATACTCAGAAAAACGGCCAGGAAAACTTCGATTCGGATGCTGAGCTTGGGGCGCTCCTCGACAAGCGGCGCCAGCGGTGGCGAGTTCAATATTGCGTTCGTCAATGGACCCATCAAGTTCCACAGCGAAGAGGGCGTGCTGTACTCCAGACTTTTCCACATTGTACGTCGTTATGCTTCAATACCAGAGTATTAAATGTATTGTCTAATTGCGAAAATACGCTACTGCAGGTGGACACGAACGCCGATGGCTACATTGGAGGCACAGAGGGAGCAGCTTTCATTCGTCGCGCAAGATTGATGAACGATGCCAACCGAGAGGTGTGTGGGGGTTATGAAAGGAGAAGAATGGAATTGGGCTGAGTATAACCGAATGTTACCGACAGATTTGGCGATTGGCAAGCGGAGGAAAGTCGCAAGAGAAGCTAAACAAAGACTGCTGGTTCGTGGCGATGAAACTCGTGGCGCTGGTACAGAGCACTGGTAAGTGCCAGATGCAGAGTCTCTACTCTGGAGACCCGCTTCCGCTGGCGGACTTTCAGATGGAGCAACCAGTTGACAACGTGGTAAGCTGGGCGATAGAAATGAAGGTTCGTCGGTGAGGAAGGCGGCTCAATCTAATGAAATATTTTCTATCTGTGTGGCTATTCAGCTACCAGAAGAAACAGCACCGGACTATGAGCGATCATTTGTGGTGTCGGTAAGCACGCCAGTCGTCGTTGGATCAGGGTACTCACGTTATACGCAATACGTCATTTCCACCAAGGTGAGACAATAGGATTGCTATACCGAGTTATGAACTGCTGCTGAACAAATGCTGTTTGATCGGGTGCAGACGAACTGCTCACACTTCCCGTGCACCACTGCGCAAGTCAAACGAAGGTTTAGTGACTTCGAATGGCTCCAGCAGCGGTTGTTAGTGCATTTTCGAGGTAACGACTGTATTCGTGTCGCAACATTGAAGAAGACTATGCAGCTAACGCATCGATTTGGCAGGAACTATCATACCTCCACTCCCGGAGAAGCGCTGGACGGGCAACATGGATGCTACCTTCGTTGAAGAGCGTCGCCAAGCCTTGGAACACTTTATCGTACGTATTAACGGTTTCTTTCATGTGTTAGCTTCGTATACCTGACGCATTTTTCGAGTGCAGAATGAAGTGTGCAGTCATGAGAAGCTATCGCGGACGCTAGAACTGCAGATCGTTCTCACAGCAAGTACTGAGGTTCGTGTGGGATTTTAAGGTGTTGGATTAGTAAATTGTCCTGTATTCGATATATAAAACGCTTTGATTACTAGGGTCTGATTGCGGGAAAAGAGCTTTTGAAGGTGGCATCTATTGCTGCCGCGTATGTTCCAACTCCAGCTTCAGTGAGCTCGTTATGGAGTACTCTGAAAGACGGTGTGTTCATGTCATCGAATGTTCAGCAAGTCGAGATCAAGACCGATGATGACTATGCGAGGGTTGGCAAAACAAGGTCGTGGTTTGTTTTGGTATATGATGTAACTGATCAGTGCATTCATGTACACAGATTGGCCAGCACATCGACGAATATGAGAAGAGAATTCGAGAGGTGACTCGCTGCTCAGACATTGTTTATGCTGCCCAACGCGGTGAAGGGTACGAGATGTCACGTTTCGGGAGCTATTTGTCGGCTCTGTCGGAGCAAGAAAAGAGAGATCCGGACATGAAGCAGCTTGCTGAGGTGCGCATTCTTTGCATGCTAGTAAATATTGAGTACGCAGTATTGATGAGTTATGGTTTGATGATACAACAGGTCGCTGGCGATCACTTTGAGACCGTGTCAAACATTTATCAAGATCAGGTGAGTAAATTCAGTATCTGACGGTCGGCATCTAGACTAACAAGACAATTGTCATCGTAGCTGGACAAGCTGTTGTCTATGTACGTTTCGATCGTTAGATACCAGGCGGGCAAGGTTGATGCCGTTAAGGTGCGAGGTATTAAGAATTCATTTGCTGAACTCCTTGTCCTTAGTGCTGTGTGCATTTCTTCGCTTGTAGGCCGTGATGCACAACCGCGAGTCTGCGATCCACGAAGTCCAGCAAGCGAATGCAAGTATGCAGCGCAATAAAGAGCGTTTTGCCGCCGCAAGGGCAAGTAGCGGTGCGGCAGCATCTGCCATGCGAGCGGAGCAGAAAATGGCGTCGGTGCGTTGAAGCTTGGCGTAATAGTGCAAGTTCGATACTAAGACTCGTTCGTCGGCAGGCGGAAGATCGCATGAACCACGCCAAGGAACAAGTTCAGTTTATAGCCAACAGTTTGAAGGTGGAAACAAAGAGGATGGACACCGGGAAGACTGCGAACTTCAAAACGGCGTTGCTGTCTTTGGCGAACCTGGAGCTGGATTATCATGTTCAAGTATGATTATCATAGCTTCCGTCAATATCTGAGCACCAACACTCACGTTGTTTTGCTGTGGTGCAGTCTCGGGCAGCGTGGGAAGGATTGCGGTCATTTCTGGAGCTGAGCGATGAAGAAGTCGCTGAGAGTCGACACAGAGCCCAGACTTCGATTACGTATAGGAAACCAGGAGAAAAAGATCTTGGTCAAATCATCGGGTTGCTGTAAGCGGCTCGACTTCTCGAATAGCACGAAGACACTAGGAAATTCTCCACTCAGCCCGTTTACATTTCTGGGAAATCTGTGGTAGCTTCACCATTGTCGGCTGTTTCCATGGCCTCGTCAGTCGACGTCTCCTGCTGAGGCATTTCTCCAGCAGCATGACCGCCGTCATCTTCATTATCATCATCATCATCGTCGACAACATGCTCGTCCATAGTTTCGTCCGCATCGTCATTTTGCCCGGGTGCATCCGTGCCGTCAGCATCCTCGATGGCATGCTCTTCCGTGTCTCCTTGCGGTCCCAGCGAGGAGAAATTCATGTCAATGATGCCCCCGCCATCCTCAAACTGAAGACCGTCAAATATTTCTAGGTCCTCGTGGAGACTCATGCTTGTAAGCATGTCATCATCATCCTGATCCTTTGCTGCAGAAGCTACTGAGCCACTTTCCTCATGATGTTCGGATTTAACGTCCTCTGAATCGGTCGTGCTTTCAGCAGCCCCCTCCTCTTTCTTAACCGGCGTTGCCTCTTGTTCTGAACCCGCCTCGTTCTCGGCAGGTTGGGTCTTTTCCTTGCTGCCAACCTCCACCTTAACCGAGATTTTATCCTTAGTCTTAACTGACTTGCCTTCTGCTGCTGCTGCTTTCGACTCCGCTTCAAGTTTCTAAAAAAATTAACGGATACGGGTTAGCAGAATAGTAGACATCTATGAAGCTCAACTGAACGGACAAGTACCTTCGCTTTCAGAAGTTGTTTCATCCTGTCAGCCATCAGGCATTCCAGCGTGGAATTGCCTCCCTTCGGTGCGATTTGCCGCTGAGGTTACCACAAAAAGGAAGTGTTAGCTCAATGCCCCCTTGCTTTCAAGCACAAGAACCCCACATACCTTATACATTGCCTCGAGACGCTTAAGTCTCGCCTGGGTGTTCGTTTTTACAGTAGCTCCGGATGCAAGCAGCTTCACTTTGTTGCTATCCGCTGGCTGTTTCCCCCCAGTCATGGCAGCAGAGGGAAGCTTTGGCGCTGCGTTGCGGGCCCATTTCTCTAGGAGGCGTTGGAATTCGTGCGATATAGGGCCATATCCGCGGAAGGTGGGAGTGAGTAGTGCTCTAATACAAATCGCACGTAAGGGTGAGTCAGGATCATGCGCGCCATTTATCATCTGAGATGTAACTCACTTCGAGCACGTGACCGTAGCCTTGTACTGTTCCACCGTTGATCCATTTATCTTACACCAACTTCCATTAGGAAGGTGCTTGAATAGCAGGTACCGCTCACAAGATCCGATCATGTTTTCGTTCTCCTTGCTTTTCGCGTCACCGAACAGCTTCATGCATTGAAGAAATTTCCCGACGACTTCGAATTCGTTGGTTATCATCGCTTGGTTCACGTAGGCAGGATTGAAGATAATGTTCATCTCGGGCACGAACAGATCGGGGTTGAGCTGCAACGTTCCGAAATTGCTCATAATATCTAAAAAGCCGAATATCATTCGTAGCCTGTACATGCAGGCGTGGTTAGAAGATACCAGTTGGCACACACACACAAGTTCAATACAGAGAAACTTACTGGTCTGTGAACACATCCCAAACGACACCATCAGCGTCAAATGGCCGAAGTCCCTTGTACATTCCTCGGATGGTATTTGTGTGCGCAAAAACGTCCAATGTGGAGGCCCCAAGCGGAATCCCCACTTGTTCTGTAAAGCACATGACTATGTGTTAGTGACGGGTAGGGAGCAACGCATAAAGAAGATACAGCAGCATTTACCTGCATAGAAGGCAGCAAGGAGGGTGCTAACATACTTCGTGAATGCGGACGGGAACACGAGCTTGTGGTGACAGCGCGAGCACATGTCCAACTCAGGTGGGTTACGAATCCCGCAGATAGCGCACAAACTGGAGCATCGCACATTGGGGCCTTCGATGGCAGGATGCCATCCAAAAAAATCCATTACGGAGAATTTTCGAGCTTTCATGAGCTCGATTACTTTGCCGTGCAGACCATGGGCGATGCAAGCTCTCTTTAAACTATGCATATCGATCCATACACACATCGTCAAGTGAGCATACCTCAAAATCTGTTAGCAAAGTGAGAAGTTTGTAGTACCTGTACAAGCCAATCATCACGGTGAATATATCGCGGACGTTCAACATCCATTTATCAGTAGTTGCGAGCTTCTCCCGTATCCAGCGCTGTAGATACGGCTCGACAAACTTTTCCGCAAAGGGCTTAATCGGGTAGCCTGCAATCTACAACGGATAGTACAGCGCTTACAATTGATTTGCCTCCAATTAGCAAAGATCCGGTAGTTATCACGCACCGATCCTATTTCTCCCAGACGCAACGACGCCAAATGACCAAACTTGTCGAAACTTGAGTTGCTGTTGGTCTCCAAGTTTAAGCACAAGATCGCTCGTCGCACCTGTCACCCACAAAAATTACAAGAAACAGTCAGACGTTAATGTTATGTCCTCCAAGTTTCGTAATGTGTTTGCAGCATACCGATAACGCATGTGGTCCACCTTTAGTTAGATCTTCAGGTGATGCTCGGTTCTGTTGCACAATGAAGCAGCTTCCGCAGAGCTGTCCGACTACATGTACGCATTTACCACCAAGTATTAGTCACTTAATCACAATGCAGACATCAATAGTACCGTACCCACAAATGGGAAGATTGCATCTTCACCAATACAGGCTGGGTGTGCATGGAGACCGCAGCCACCGTTACACGTGAAGATATCGCCCTTCTTCCTGCATACAACGCAGGGCTCTTCCGAGGGATTGGAAGTCGCAGATGCTGCTAGCACAACTGGCGTTTGTGACGAATGCGGAGGAGTTGCACCGTTGGCGTCAGGAAGCATTTGTTGATGAAGCTGATGTGGTTGTGTAGACACTCCACTAGGTGTGTTGGCCTGGAGGTTCACCCCTTGGTTTCCAATTAACGAAGCTACATGGATATTCGTGCCAGGATTCGCATTCATCTGCGGCGATTGGTGCACAGCATGAGTTGCTGATGCTGGGACTCCCTGCTGCCCCATCATCGCCGCCATTGTGACAGCTTGTTGCTGTTGCTGAGCGTTTCGTCGAGCTACCGTGTAATGCAGAACAATTTAATAAGATTCAAAATGATATGCGAGCAAAATCTATCGAACTTTTGTCGTACCTGCCATTGCGGCTGCAAATTGTTGCTGCTGCTGGCGTTGCTGCATCTGCATATGCATGTGCTGAGCCTGTGACTGTGCCACACTTGAAGCCATCGATGTCATGGGCTGCTGCACCGGTAGCTGGAGCGGTTGCGGTACCATGGGCTGAGAGCCCATGAGGAAGAGGTTGCTTTGTTGCTGTGGACTGCCATCCATGGCCTGCGCGTTCGTCTGTGTCATATCCAAAGCGTTTGCTGTCTCTGTGCGCATTTGCTTGGCCATCCGTTCCTCTTCGCTCTCCCCAGCCGCGCGCTTGTGCTGCATGGCGTCATCCCCGATGCCTCCGTTCATCTTGGTGTGTGCAAATGGAAGAGTGCGGTGGTACACATCAATTATAATAGCTTTTATTTTTTACGACGCTCTGCTAAGCGAAGATCATCACTCAAGATGCTGACTCGCACCGCACGGCTGACTGCGCGTGGCTTCAATGCTTGCGCCATGTTCTCTACTGTGGTGGAGGACGAAGTACGCAAGTTTAATGCTGCATCTTCGTACGCCCTCCATGTCACTCGGATCCCCAATGTGTTGAGCTCTAATATCCTCTTGTTGCAGTGATTGGTGGACTCCCAAGAGCACGACGGGCGTAGGACCTCTGCATCAGATCAATCCTGTGCGTGTCAAGTACATTCGTAGCCATGTGATCGAGCACTTTGGTCATACGACGGACGAAGACCCCATGCCCCTACGCGGTCTGCGAGTGGCGGATGTGGGCTGCGGTGGCGGAATTCTGTCCGAGGCGTTGTGTCGCATTGGAGGCACCATGGTGTCTGCTGACCCTGGTGAGGACAATATCGCAGCAGCGAAGAAACACGCCGCTATGAGCCGTCACACTAACACTATCGACTACCGTCAGTGCACATCTGGTTGGTTCAGCTATCTGCTCTGGGTTTCGGTTCATATGATACTTACAATTATGACTTGGTTATTCTAGATGACTTGGTGGTCCAGGGAGAACAATTCGATGTGGTCTGCTCGCTAGAAGTTATTGAGCACGTGTCCGACGTGTCTGCTTTCCTGCACTCGCTCACGCCTCTGGTGAAGGTGAGAAGCTGCCTTGTGCTATACTTGAAGTGACGACAAGATAGATTCATATCTTGTATTCCTATTTACTGCAGCCGGGTGGTTTGCTGTTTCTGTCATCGATTAACCGCACAGCACTGTCTGCTGCGCTTGCTATTGGCGCTGCAGAGTACGTGATGCGAATTGTCCCTCCAGGAACGCACGATTGGAATAAGTTTGTGCGGCCTGATGAGATCGAGACCGAGTTGAGGAAAAACGGATTTACTGTGAAGGACGTGTCGGGTATTGTAGGTGATCCGATATTCCGCAGCTGGCGTATTCACCCTACGTGTACGGATATCAACTACATCCTGTGCGCCACCAAGCCTCAAGAGAAATAGAGACAGTGACCTGAACCTACAGCACCAACAAGCAGCAGACTGAGCCAAAACCGCTGGGCCGCGAACTCTTTACTACCTTGAGATATATGCTAAATATCCATCAGCCTATCGATCGTCTTCTGAATCAGTATCACGCTCCAGTACAGCTTTAGCAGCATCGTCTGCACGTACGCTATAGTGACGCTGAGCATTCCAATACGCTGCAACTAAGGCTTCGTATCGCTCATTCTTGACGAGAGAGAGCTGCATATCGTGGTCGTCCAGAGTGGCCTGGTCCTTCAGCATGCGATGAAATAGTCGGTCTCGTGCAGTCTCGGTTGCCGGCCAGTTTGACGCCATTGCCAGACTCGCAAGCTCCTTCCATTGGTGTTCCAGCGCGTCTAACACCGCACGTAAGTGGTATCCGATCAACTAGGGGGGTTGAAAAGCGAGAGGCAACGTACTTTCGCCACTGAACTCGACGTGGATGTGCGTATTCGTATCCTCCCCGGAGCCTATTTCGTCTTTAGCTTCCAGCTCTCGCAACTTCCGACTGCAAATCCAGCTTGCTCAAACCTCTCATTCGATAGAAAAAAACGAAAAAGTGGTAAGAAGACGTACCGGATAGTTCGAAACGAGTTGATCGAGATGAATACGACAGGTATAGAAGTCTGCTGAACAGCAACGGCAGCAGTGAGAGAGCTAGCTGCATGTGGGAACCGTTGATCTCCCAGGATGATTCCTGCTGCACGTCTGGCTTCAAAGAAGGCGAGTTGCTGCATTAGCGAGCATCCACGAGGACTCCCAGGATCTCGCAATCGGATGGCAATAAACGAACCCGCCATATTACTGTGACGTGAGAGCGGTGAGACTCGCATCGGGTCTGTTTCGCATGGGTTAAATACCTTGGGGACTGGAAAGATGAGGTCGTGTCTGCCAATAGGAAGGTTCACTCCGGTGCTGCTGCCCGACGAACTATAATCCGCTGGCTTGAGGAACTCATACGTGTCAGCTATTAGCTCCGTTTCTGCTGACGTTGCCACGGATATGGATAGAAATCCAGCACTAGCATCTTCGATGAGGAAGACTGCAGAGCGACGCAACGGGTCATTATCATCCGGGTGCACTGCAAAGCGATCGACTACACATGTTGAGCTGAATACGAAGCGAAGTTGCTGACGTTCGCCCGGACGTGCACCAACCATCTGCTCCAGCAAGCGCCCTCCTGAATCCGCGGATACCATGACTAACGGGATGTTGATGGGGTGTGGTAATGACGAAGGAGGTGGAATTCGCACACGCATGGGCTTCTCACCCACACGCTGGACGAAGACTACACCCTTGGCCCCAGCTTCATCCGCCAATGCTGCCTTCTGATGCATTGGACATCCGAGCATGCTCTGCTCACATAGCAATAGACATTCGTGAGGTTTGATCCCACATCAAACGAAGCAAAGTGGTCACCTACCGGGACGAGAACATACTTGTCGGTGACGTTGATTGAGAGTGGAGCGCATGCGTCAAAAGGCCGCGCGAGAACCAGTTCTCGAAACGCACAGCTCGGTGGCGAGCCATCAGAAGATAGTACAGCATATAGCTGAAGCTCACTTGTCTTATCACCGACGCTTGACACCTGCTCATAGCGATAAGTCAGTCCTTACCACTTAAACCCCCAACCTGGTTCTCGCACCACATAGTCGAAGATCTCTTCACTGGGTGGCTCATACGTGACGGTTGACGCAGTATCTGCTTCAACGACGGCCTCCTTTATCGCTGCTGGTGGAGGCTGGATACAGCGACCATCATGGGTCTGGAAGCGCAGTTTTCGTGGCAGTTGAGCCGCTTGCAGCTCCCCTACTGCCTTCTGTAGCGTGTGACCCTCAAGTGAGACATCGTTAACGGCAACAAGCCGATCCCCAATCTCTGCCAACCCCGAAGCTTCCACAGCTCGACCACGACCCTCTGAATCTGCTACAAACTCCAGCACCTCCAACTTCTCGCTCAGACGCAATCCAAGAGGTGCGCTGGTCGCCACCACCACCGAGAACTGCTGTGCTTCCAGCGAGCACTTAGCCGCAGATGCTGAGGAAGCGACAGCAGTGTCGACGATGCTTACATGGGCAAGGATCGACGCGTGCACAACGACAAACAATACGAGTCTGCACAAGGAGATCATTAAATCCTTTTCAAAGTTGAAGTGCCCAATACAAAAACCAAGTGTCGATTGGCGAAACGGCGCACAATAAACAACACGTTTATTTTCTAGTAGGGTGGGCGTTTGGCAGGTTAGAATTCGTTCTCGTGGGCCCAAAGCTTAAATGTGCGATCAAAGCCGCAGGAAACTACGTGCTTCTCGTCTGGAGCAAAGTCGGCTGACATCACCTTGCCGTCATGACCACGCAAAGTGGTCATCAGCTTCCAGTCTCGAGTTCTCCAAAGCTTGATGGACGAGTCGTACGAGGCACTGAGCAGCAGCTCACCAGATCCAGGCGAAAAGCGCACGTCGCTCACCAAGTTACTATGCGCTGGAATCATGTACGAGCACTTTTGCTGTCGCAAATCCCAGATCCGAACACTGCGGTCATCACTACCCGACGCCAACTGTACGCCATTAGCAGCAAAGTCCATGGACAAAATCTGCTTCGAGTGGCCCTGCAATGGCAGTATAGCCTTGCCCGAACGGAGGTCCCAAACTCGCCCATTACCGTTCAAGTCGCCTGTCGCTGCGAGCGCACCGTCCTTCTGAAACGCGATGGCATATACCTCCTTGTAATGGCCTTCCTGCAGCAGCAGCTCCTGCGCTGTTGCAACGTCCCAAAGCCGCCATGTGTGGTCGAAACTTGTTGTACCAATGTAATTTCCCAGTGGGTGGAAAGCAACCTTTCCCAGTCTCGCCTTGTGGCCACGTAGCACAGCAAGAGGCTCATTGCGAGATGCACCCCAGAGCCGTGCGGTGCCGTCAGCAGAACCACTACAAAGACACACGGAGGCAGCTCCATCCGTCATCTCGGAAAATGCGTTGGTCGGATGCCACGCGACTCCAGTTACACGGTCTTCGTGTCCACGGAACAATTTGACCTCATTAGCGTTCGTGGCGTCCCAAACCTTTACCAGGCTACTCCACGAGCCCGTGGCCACATGAGCACCATCTGCCGAATACCGTACACTAGCCAGAGGACGCACGTCGCCATTCTGACTCGCTACATTGGCCATTTTCAAAGCCGTCGCGTATAGCTCCGCTGCGTGGTGATCTAGTTTCCGAGCTCGTTCCTCCAAGCTCATGACCTGCTCCTGTCGCTCTCTCTTCAGTCGTGCACCCACAGCACTCGTAGTGTGTGCAAATATTGTGGCACGCACACTCTTAAGTGCCTCGTTTTTAATGGGCACGTAGAACAGTTGGTCCTGCTGGGGCTTCGTCGCCTTTCGAGCACCACCCTCTGCGCCTGTTGCAGCTACCGCACCTGCACCGACATCCTGTTTTTGAATATCTGCAAGAACCTGGTGTACAAAACCTGTCTCCTCAGCCTCCAGCTCCAGACGTGACAGAATCTCACGCAGTCTTTCGCGTCGATCCGCTGGACGCTCTCCGAACAGTGTGATGGGCTCGCCAAGTTGCCGTAGTCGCAGTATCACTTCCTCGACAATAGTAGGCACTGCAATGTTACGCGCTCGCTTCTCTGCTTCAATACGACGCAGCAGCTGTGCGTGCTTCTCCTGGGCGGCGCGACTGCTCTCGGACAGTTGCAGCACCTCTGTCTCCACGTTGTCCGATACGTTCACATTACCAGCGCGGATGGCCGCCTCCAAGTTGCGGATCATGTGTCCATTTCCGCTCGCATTGCGTACACTGCTAGACACCATGTCGCCAGCGCTGGCGTCGATAGCGCCAAAGTAGATGCCCTTGCGCTCACCCATTCTTACCACCTCCAATATCCTCCTCCAAATGGCAAGCAAAGTTAAAAATCACAGTTCTGAGTGCGAAATTGACAATACTTGAAAAAAGATCAAATTCACACGTCACACTTCAAGTGAAGGTGGCGACTCAGCAGATGTCAATCCCTGCGGTGATGGCACTGACGGAATCGTTGCCAGCGTTCTGCGGCGACGACGAGTGGGTTCGTAAGCGTCTGAAAGACCGAGATGCCGAGCGCGCATGCCGCTATGCCCCCGACGGCGGGTTCTCTGCTGTGGAGACCGTGCGCTTTAACCGGGCAGAGTTCACGAAGCAGATCCAGGTGAAAAGACGTGCCGTGACCAGATAGTTATAGTCTGAGCGATTGTCTGATCTAAACCTACGGTCAAATGCTTGCTTAGGAGTTCCTGGACGCAGACGTGAGCGACGGCTTCGTGATTGGTCTGAAGCGCCGCCGAGAGCTCGCGCTGCAGTTGTGTGAAGACTACAAGAAGTTCACGGAAGCGCAGAGGCTGGAGCTGGTTCTAGCGTTAGCTGTGGATCTGGGAGTACGAGATCTGGCAGTGATGATGAGGACACTGCCTTCTATCAAGCGCTCGGGTCTGGTATTGAACGTGGCAGCAGCCGCTCTGGGTTTCAGTCGAAAGAACGACCCTAAACTCTCCAAGAGCGTCAAGCGAGGGCTTGTACCACTCGCAGAGCAGTTCTTCCTTCTTGTTGGCACGATCCAGCCTGGTCCACTATTTCTGCTCAATTTGAGAGTGGATTTGGGTGTCCTCATAGAGCGTCATCGAGAGAAACTACCAAAATCCAGCGTCGAGGCACTGGGACTCCTGGATTTGATCATGCGAGACCTGTTTGCAACGCAAGGCAGCATGCGTTTTCGTCGTATTGATCTGACTTCTGAAGCTCTGGCTGCTTTCGTGCTGAAACATGAGCGTGTGCATCAAGTTCGAGGCTGGGGCGATCTACAGCGCCGCTTGGGAGGATGGCAACGCTACTGCTTCGGACTTTTCCACATGCACATGCCGCACGCTCCATTGGTGTTTGTACAGACAGTGGTGACGGACCACTTGTGCAGCCACATCACACCGATATTGGAACAAGACACACCAGTGGTGAAAACCCCGTCACACGTCATCTTCTATTCGGTCTCTACGTCTAACACCGGGCTCCGGGGACTGAACATAGCGAGTCATTTACTCTTTCTCACCATTCAGCGCATGAGCAGCATGTTTCCACAGTGTAAGACGGCGGCGACGCTCTCTCCTGTACCTGGTTTCGCTCGGTGGTTCAAGGCAGCTCTTGCTAGTGGAGATCAGCAGTCGCAAACCACTTCGGATGCGAAGAGTGTTTTGCAAAAGAAGGACCTCAAACTACATCGCTTGGAGCCGCTACAACGAAGCTTCTTCAGTTCGGAGCAAGCACAGCGACTTAACATGAAATATGGTGTGAACCAACTGGTGCTCCACAAGTGGCTTCTGAAAAAGCTTAGCGATCCTGCATGGTACCAAGATGCTGAGCTCGTGGATAACATTCGTGACATTATCACAGCCGCATGTGCGCGCTACATCCTTTTTGAGCGAAAGAAGGACAAGATCCTGGACCCTGTGGCAAACTTTCACCTGCAGAATGGAGCTCAGGTCGAGCAAATCAACTTCATGGCAGACACCACGCCGTCTGCGCTGATGTCAGCGTTGGGCATGATGATCAACTACCGCTACTGTATGACATCGATTGACGTGACTTCAATCTCATACAAGCGCAAGTCTCTGGCAGCAGTTTCTCCTGCAACAGCTCGACTTGTCTGGCCGGCAGACAGCGTCATTCTTGACGGTAAGTGCAACTGGTGGTTAGTTGTTTGTGAGGTTACTTATTACCATTGTGTTGATGTTCTGAAGAGCTTGAGAGATTGAAGGACACGCGTAACACGCCGCTGTTTGCTAAAGTTTTCCAGGCTGGCGACGTGATTAGTGCGCGAGGATCTCTACCCACAGCTATCTACTTTATTGCGTATGTTGCTTTGCCTGGATCCTGGTTGTAGTAAGAAGAGCTTACTGAGTATATATCTCTATAATAGGTCTGGAAGAGTACGCGTGCATTCCGCTCACCCGTACACACTTTGCGAGGGTCAAACGTTTGGCGAACGTGAGTCGCTGAATGACGAGCCCGTGGCCTTCACTGTACGCGCCGAGACAGCCACGCACTTGCTGCTGTTACCGTACAACGATGTGAAGGCAGTTCAGCGAGAATCAAGCACCTTACGCGATTACGAGGGTAGCGATCCACGAGTGTGGCAACAACAACTTTACATGTCGTTCCACGGCAGTAAGCTCTAGGTGGTAGGTGTTTGACATTTACGAATGAAGAAGTACTATACTACAGAACGATGGCACTGGAGGTTGCTCGCTTCTCTACTTGACAGCTTTGGCAGGCAGATCTTCCAGGCGCAGCGTACCTTCCTTGATCATCGCGATCTCGGCACGGGTCAAGAAGCGACCACCAGGTCCACGCGGTCGCCGCATGGCATGCTTGTGCCGCGAGTCGTGCAAGTATGCCTTGCGTTGGCGGTTGCTTCCTAGCTTGGCCTCCAGCTTTGCCCGCTGCTGGCGACGGATCATAATGCGGTGGTATTGCTTGGCGTTCACGTAGACGGGCTCCGCCTCTACCGCGTCCGACACAGCGGGGGCTGTCGCTCCCTAAGTAGTCAAAATATTCAACAAGGGCGAGTTCAGACCAATCAATAAAGCAAGCCAGCAAGCAAGCGACCGCTCGAGCCGATCGATTAGTGTGCCGAGACACAGCAACGTCTACACCATTTGCACGTACCAGGAACTGCGGCATCATCATCATTTGGTTACTGTACAGCTGCCGGAGCTGTTCATTGTTTGGCTGTTGCTGTTGCTGTTGACGCGGTCGCAAACAAAATATTAGCGCAACTCTCACTCACGCACAATTCTCAGTATCAGCATCTAACCATTTGCTGGAGAAACTGCAACTGCTGGGACTGGTACAGAGCGATCTGCGCGGCCTGCACGTCGACCAAGGCTTGTGTCGGTGCCCGAGACTCGGACAGTTCCTGACCTTCAGTGTGCAGCTCGACGGATTCCATTATTGCGAGATTGTTTTTTCTTGCTGTAGACACAACACGAAGGTGAGCTACCCGCGTGCACACGTCGCAGGAACTTCAAGGCGTACGCAATGATTGGACGGCTGCGCTGGCTCCAATGAGAACGCTCGGTGTGCACCACACCAATTTCGTGATCCTGACTAATTTCGATAAGTCAGTACGATGTGCACCACACCTTTCTTTCAGTCGAGTTTCGATAAGGTACCTCATTCGTTAAAAACAAGATCTTTTCATCCAATCCTTATACGCTTCAAACACACATGCCACGTAGATCGGCCCCCTCATTCTAAAGCTCGGAAGCTGGAGGCGCTGCATCTCCCAGACGGCCATGCTGACCAAGTTCGAGTCCAAGAGCAACCGCGTCAAAGGTCTGGCGTTCCATGTGAGCCGGCCTTGGATCCTCACGTCACTACACAACGGCGTCATTCAGCTATGGGACTACCGCATGGGCACCCTGTTGGACCGCTTCGACGAGCACGACGGCCCCGTGCGCGGCGTGGACTTCCACCGTACACAGCCGCTGTTCGTTTCTGGTGGTGACGACTACAAGCTGAAAGTATGGGACTATAAGCTACGCCGCTGCCTGTTCACTCTCCTGGGCCACCTGGATTACATCCGTACGGTGCAGTTCCACCACGAATACCCGTGGATCCTCAGTTGTAGTGACGACCAGACCATCCGCATCTGGAACTGGCAGTCGCGCTCCTGCGTGTCCATCCTCACGGGCCACAACCACTACGTCATGTGCGCGCAGTTCCATCCCAAGGACGACCTTATCGTCTCGGCCTCACTAGATCAGACGGTCAGAGTCTGGGACACCACGGGTCTCCGTAAGAAGACGGTGCGTGGAGCTCCCAGCTCCATGGACGACATGGTGGGTCCTCCTTCTTCCCGTTCCAACAACCACGACATCTTCGGCGCTAGTGACGCCATCGTTAAGTACGTTCTGGAAGGCCACGACCGCGGTGTCAACTGGGCCAGCTTCCACCCGACCTTGCCTCTTATCGTCTCCGGTGCCGATGACCGTCAAGTCAAGCTCTGGCGTATGAACGAGACCAAGGCCTGGGAAGTAGACACAATGCGTGGACACACCAACAACATCTCGTGTGTGCTGTTCCACCCACGCCATGAGCTCATTATTTCTAACAGTGAAGACCGTTCCATTCGCGTGTGGGATATCTCCAAGCGCATGGGGCTACAGACCTTCCGTCGCGAGAACGACCGCTTCTGGATGCTCGCTGCGCATCCGACGCAGAACCTTCTCGCTGCCGGCCATGACTCCGGTATGATTGTGTTCAAGCTGGAACGTGAACGTCCCGCCATGGACATCCACGAAGGCCGCGCTTATTATGCCAAGGAGCGCTATGTGCGCATGTATTCGTTCGTTGACGGCAGTGACGTCCCTGTCGCTGCTGTACGTCGTACGGGTACTGCTGGTACGGGCATGGGCAACTTCCCACGTCACTTGAACTACAACCCGTACGACCAGACCTCCGGTACCAACAGTGTGTTGATGACTAGTGACGCTGAAGGAGGTTCGTACGAGCTGGTGACGTTCACTCATGGCTCGAGTGGTGACACCTCTGAGTCAAGTCGTGGTCCTGGTCTCTTCGCTGTGTTTGTGGCCCGCAACCGCTTCGCTGTGTTGGACAAATCGCGTCACATTGTGATCAAGAACTTTCAGAATGAAGTGACTAAGAAGATCACGCCACCTAACGGTACAGCCGACGGTCTGTTCTTCGGTGGAGTGGTGGGACGTGTGTTACTTCACATTGACGACAAGATGGTGCTATACGAGACGCAGAGTCGTCGTGTATTGGCTGACGTACAGGCCCCTCGTGTGAAGTACGTTGTCTGGAGTCCTAACTACGAGTACGTGGCTCTGATCAGTAAGCACTCTATCGTATTAGCTGATAAGCAGCTGAACCATCTGAGCACTATTACTGAGTCAGTACGTATTAAGAGCGGCATCTGGGCCAACGCTCCTGCCGAGATCTTCGTGTACACGACGTTAAACCACATCAAGTACTCGTTGACAAATGGTGACGCTGGTATTATTCGAACATTGGATGTACCCGTGTACTTAACGCATTTGGAAGGCTCAAAGCTCTACTGTCTTGACCGTGAGGCCAAGATGCGTACAATGGCCGTGGATCTTACCGAGTGCGAGTTCAAGATTGCCCTGAACAAGAAGAACTACACTGAGGTGATGCGGATGGTTCGTCACTCGAGACTGTGTGGCCAGGCCATTATCTCTTACTTGACGAAGAAGGGCTATCCGGAGGTGGCGTTGCACTTCGTTAATGACGAAAAGACGCGCTTCAAGCTCGCTATCTCGTGTGGTAACCTTGAAGTGGCGCTGAACTCGGCGTACGAACTGGATGACAGCAAGTGCTGGTACCAATTGGGTGTCGAAGCTCTTCGTCAAGGTAACATCCAAGTCGTGGAGATGGCATATCAACGTACCAAGAACTTTGAGCGTCTGAGCTTCTTGTACCTGGTTACTGGCAACCGTGACAAGCTGAAAAAGATGCTCAAGATCTCGGAAGTACGCAATGATATCATGGCTCGCTTCCACAATGCACTGTACCTGGGAGACGTCGAAGTCCGCGTCATGACATTGGAAGCTGCCGGTCAGTTCGGTCTAGCACTCCTGACAGCTGCCACTCACGGTCTCAGCGAGCACGTGGAGCGTCTGAGTGCTCTGCTTCAGGAGACGAACCCTGACTTCGATGTGGATGCTTTCCTGGCGCGTGAGATGCTTCCGAACCCGACGCTGTTGTCCCCTCCGCCGTGCGTGAGCCGTCTTGAGAACGAGAACTGGGCGCTGGTGGAGATCAACGAGCCGACAATCCAGGACCACGCTGTTGCTGCTGAGAAGCGCGAAGCTGAACGTAGTCTACAGCCTCAGCAGGAAACCGGCCGTCGCTCCATTGAGGAGCGTCCGGCACGTAAGTCATCAATGGATCTGGCTCTGGACGCCGCTGGAGATGCCTGGGGTATGGACGGCGATTTGGACCTGGACGACTCGCTTACGATCGATGATCAATCGCTGGGAATGGACTCGACTGCTTTGGAGAACGACTTCGCTGGTCTTAGTACGGATGCTGGCTTTGTGGCGGCTCCTACGGCTGGTACGAGTCTTGCTGTGCAGTGGGTGCGCAACTCGTCGTTGGCTGCTGATCACGTGGCTGCTGGCTCGTTCCAGACCGCCATGCAGCTACTGCATCGCCAGATTGGTGTAATTAACTTCGAGCCGCTTAAGCCTGTATTCCTTCAGGTGTTTTCAGGTGGCTCAGCTTCTTTGCCAACGCAGGGCAACTGCCCGCCACTGCGTGCGTGGCTGCAGCGTAACGATGTCAACCAACCAGCTGTAGCTGTGTCGTTCGCTGCTCTCGTCGAAGAGCTCAAAAACGCGTACCGTTCATTCACTGGAGCCAAGTTTGACGATGTGAAGACCCACTGTGAGTCTATTTTACATGCGATCCCGTTCCTGGCTGTAGACTCCAAGGAAGAAGCAGAGAAGGTGAAGGGATTGCTAACTGTCTGTCGCGAATACCTGCTGGCGTGTCGTATCCGTGCGGAGGTGGCTGCTGTGCCTCTGGAGAGCGACCCGAAGCGTAACATCGAGCTGAGTGCGTACTTTACGCACTGTGAGCTGCAGTTGCCGCACTTGGTGTTGACGTTGAAGATCGCGATGACGAATGCGTTTAAGGCTGGCAACTTCATCACGGCGGCGTCGTTCTGCAGACGGTTGTTGGAGATCCCGGAGGTGTCGCAGCATCCACGTCACGAGAAGCTGCGCTTGACTGCGCGTAAGGTGTTGCAGAAGGCCGAAAAGGAGGCTCGCAATGAACATGCAATGGACTACCAAGACTCGAAGCCGTTCGTGCTGGACGCACGCAACTTTACGCCCATTTACTTGAGTGAGAAAGATGTGCGTTGTCCGTACTGCGCTGCTGCGTACCATCCGGAGAGCAAGGGCACACTCTGCGATGTGTGTGGCATCTCGAAGGTCGGCGAGGAAACCATCGGACTGGTTGTCACTGCAGCGCAGTAAGGGAGTCGAGTGCGTGTAGATGCATGGTGCAGGCAGTTGATGTCAGCTAAAACAACGCGTGACTATTTTATTGAGTTTTTGTCCAATTCTTGCTTGTTATTTTGCTTTTCCACCAATCATAGTTGTCGAAGAGTAAACCACTGAAGAAATTCAAATCGCTGCGCGCAAATCTTTGTCCGCGGCCGTTGGTCAAAATTCAAACTCGATGCGGGCGAGCAGCTCCGTTGCCCGGCATCACTTCGCGCAGTTCGATGGCGAGCTACAGGACAGCGACCAGACCATCTCGACGCCTGCGCGGCATCTGAGGCCACGTACGCGGCTTCGCACCGTCGCAGATGCCAGTGGAAGTAGCAGTGGGAGGCTACAGCGTCGACGATTCCCCACGTCCGCTTTTTTTGCCGACACGACGGATGACGACGTATCGAAGCCCGCAGCGATGACCTCCGACCGATCCCAGCTCTCTATGAGTGCATCCATTCGACCCACACATACATGTAGCAATAGAGCACCGCTTCACATGAGTGCGGGGCCGAGAGAAGGCCAGAGAGGGATAACTCAAGTGCCCAGACTCCATGTTAGCGCCATCCAGTTCCCAGCAACTCGCTCGGTGCTTTGGGATCGGCGTCGATTATCAGCTGCACCGATCGGAGTGTCATTGGAACAGGTTCTGCCACGTTTTATCCTGTCAGCACAGGCCCTGAAGGAGATTTACAAGCTATTCAACGAGAAAAGCGGTGTGCGCGATAGTGGCGCTGCGCTGTGTTGTCTACATGGAGACACGACGTCAGCGAGGGGGAAGACGGTGCTACTGGAGGGAGTCAAGATGAAGAAGGAGGAAGCAAAGACTGCTGGGACGTGGTTTATCCCTGTACACTCGATCGCGAACAATCAAGGGCTGTCACAAGAGACCTACGTGTCTACAATCAAAGCTGTGCATTCCAGTTACCGCGACGAATATGCTGACAACGTCGCCTCGAAACTCCAGCCGAAATTGCTGGTGTTCCGGTCGTCACCGCACGCTGCAGCGCTGGATTTCCAACTTGAATGCGCAGCGTCGCCCGTGCTGCTTAAATTCTCCCTTGTGCGCAACTTACCGTTGCTCATGACCCCACTCGCTGCGAGTTTAGCAAAGCGTGAGTTTTCTACACGCTCTGGAAATATGCGATCGGGTTATCTCACTCTGGACCGGACTCGTAAGGCGGTGCCGCTGCTGAAAGTTGATCCTCTCGTCCTGCAGCAGCCAGTTGTTGGCGTTTGGGTATATGGCGTTCAGATCGACGACGCGTGGGACGAAGAGACCGCGCGACGACAACTGGCTGATCCGTTCTTGTACTTTACATGCATTGGATACCTTATGTCGGAGGCGATTAAAGAGCGAGTGGGGCCGGAGAAGAACACATTCTTGGTGGCAATCTATCCTGCTGATGATCCTGACAACGGTGCTGTTGGTTCGTTGCCACGTTTCTTCGAGTGCAGCTTTTCCGAGTTCCTGTCACCTCCAGCGAAGCCACTTCCAATGGAACTATATTCCCATCGACGGTCTTGCTTAGTAGGCGTGTCGAAATTCTCGAGTGACGTGGAGCTTACGTTGTGTGTCGCGCCGACAAACGAGTGGGAGGAGGCGAAACGCCAAGTCAAGATTCCTACAGCGCCGCGGACAGCAGAGATCGATGATACTGCGGAGTGTTCAGTCGCTGTCAGTGAAGAAGAAAAGGAGGATGGAACAAGTGGCTGGACCATCACAGTTGATGCCATTCAGAAGAGCTTCTCTTCGGCACAGAGCGAAGTCTCGGTATTGAGCGGAAAAGGAGCAATCGATACGGCAATCTCCGCAGAAACTGATCCAGCGGTAGTTGAAAAGAATATGCTAACACCGGTCAGTGGTGATCAACATGATGCGCAAGCTGAAAAAGAGGCTTCACAGCCAGCCTCGCTGAATGAGATGGAAGAAGCGACGGGTCGTACCGAACACGGGGCTGTCAACACCAGTAGCTATCGAAGCTGCTGCAAAACACAGCAGCTGCTGACAATTCAACATCAACAGATCCTTGAAAATCAGCAAAGGCAGTTACATGAAATGCAAGAGCAGATCGCTCAGCTCCATCGCCTCCTACATGCGGCAAGAAGTGGAAGCAGTAATACCAAGCAAGCGCACGGTCGTCCAAATGACGAAGGATACGACTCGGACGCTAGCAGTTCAAGCATTGGAGCAGTGGCTGATGTCTCCAATGTCTCTAGTACGTTTAGCCGGCAGGGGAATGGAAATGCGAGTTCTCCGTCATCGATCGTCTCAGGACCACTACGTAGTGATGATGGTCCGCTCCCTGACGCGGTCTCAATGCACAGTCATCAAGATAACGAAGGTGGTGAAGAAGACGACAAGGACTTATCGTTAAGTTCGCTGGGTTTGTCATCGATCAGCAGTGGCTCAGGCGCTGACTTATCATCGCTATCGTCTTCTCTTGTTAGCAAACGATCAAACAAGCTCAGCTCTTCTCGAATCGAGAAAGACCAGGTCGACGTCAAAGAAGCTGATCAGATACTGAAAAATTTAAGCCTATCCCAAGTGTCGAAGAGAAGTCTGATGACGATGCAACAGCCTGCCGCTGAGGCTTGTGCAGGTGCTGACGTAGAGTCTGCTAGTGGCCAAGAGTCTGACGATGCGGAGAAGAACCCCAGTGCATTCAACTTATCCATTGGACAGTTGAGTTTTTCACTAGAAGAAGTCAACAGCGAGCCAGACAGAGCAGCCAGCAATGATGCGGGTGATGATGAACGTGGAAGCGATGGTCTGCTGGCAATCGAAAAGCTGCTGTCACCGGACGCTTACCTTCGGAAAGTTGGAGGCTTTGTCGACCATCATGGTGGGTGCTTCACGACGCCACCTCTCGATTTCCACAGCTTTTGCGTGCCTCGCATCAAGTTTTCGACGGAGACGCCTGAGTGCTCCATGTCCGATTCAGAAGACGAGGAGATCCGCTTGATCGAGCAGAAGTACAAGCGATTAATGGCAGCATGAGCCTACGATTGAACCTGCCAACACGTAGGTAGCACACCTTTGTCCAGTAGGTACACTAAGATTAACCGTTTACTTTAGTAGCTCCTGGCATCTACGGCACCGGGACAAGCAACTCGTTTATAGCGTGCTTGGTTTCTGTCTGTAATGATGATCCACCGGCGTGTGAATCTTTCACATACACGAGGTATTCAGCAGGAAGCATGAACACACTTGCGGGGTGTCCAGGAGTGGCAGCATGCACTACGAACCGGAAGCGGTTCAAGTTGTAGATACCCGACGTCATGAAGCACGCCTTGAGATTGATTGTCACGCTGCTGTTCGGTGAGAATCGAGCAATCTTCTTCTTGGTAACTCCAGTCCAAAGGAAACGTGGCGGTGACCCAAGCGGAGGAGAGGCGCCGGAATGAGACACAGACTGCAGCTTAGTCAACGGAGCAGAAGACGGAAGCGAAGCCTGTGCCTCCTCTGGATGAAGCATCTCGACTGTGACATCAAGAGGTGTGGAACTAGGCACCGAGTCGTTGCAGACTTCCATCGAGATATCCAACTCCGCAATACTCAGTCCTGATTTAGATCCAGGATACGTGGATCTCTGCAGCTCAACAGAGTCACTGTAACTGAGTGCTACAGTCAGAGGACACGAGGCTTCCTGCGTCACTGGACGAATCTTCACCGATGTGAGATTCGCTTGGCCAATTGCTCGATGCATTGACACGTGACCGCCGTACGATACATGGCAATCTGTCGACCATACGAGTACAAGATGGCCGTCGGTATCTAAGTGCGAGAGCAGCGCGTCTTTCGACATAGGCTGCGGTTCTTGTTGAGGTTTCTGGTCGTTGCTGTTTTCACCTGCAGCATTTTTCAACGCCTTGTTCTCTCGTCGCACACTTTGGATCGTACGGAAGCCGCCACGTTTGCTGTCGTTTCCATCGCCAGATCCAGCACCACCAGCTCGAACGAGCTCTGCAGCGTTTTCCAAGCACAAAAACTGTTCGATCGGCAAGCTTGCTGACAACTCCGCTCCATTCTGTTCCGAGTTAAGAGCCAACTTGCACGATTCCGTCGCAGAAACATCGCGTCGTCGGACCACGCGGAAGTAACTCGTGCTTGCTTCAAAGAAACCGAGACGCAGCGAATCCCGCACACTGGTCGAATTATGTGACTGCGTTCGGGTCAATCTCTCAACCGTCCAAGTATTGCTAAGACATAGGAGCTCCTCCAGACGAACCATACCGTCTAGAGCATTCGTCATGTTGTGATGGTCACCTCGCTGGTTTGATACTGTAAGGCCAAGCGTATACTCTCCACTGGCACCAAAACTTGGCTCAATAGAGTACGACACGTCAATGCACGGCAGTAAGTCCAGGTCCAGCTTGATTTTCACCGTGCGCGAGAGTGAAGACTTGGTGTTCTCCGTTGAGGTTACGTATTTGAATAACAGCGCCGCATGACGTCGTCCCGGAACTGCCCCACGAGCCCATATTGCCACTTCTTTGCTTTCTCCAGGGGCGAGAATGACGTCACTCAAGTTTACAACGTGCCCATTCGCACCAACGTAGCCACAAAGATCTTTCACGTTGCCTGTACCAGAAGCACAAAGCTGCAAATCGGTACAGCAGACTTGCAATCCACTAAGAGGTGCAGTGCCAGAGTTGACGAGAGAAACCTTCAGCTCCATCAGCTCACCGACAAAAGATTCGACAGGAACGCCGTCGACTTTGACTCCAAGCCACGGCATGGACTCGACAACATTGGCTATTAGACTCATGTTCGGCGCTCGAGCTCGAGCTTCTCGGTTTGCTCGAGTATCTTGCAAGAGAGGTCCAGGGATATCGAACGCGTGCTCGCCTTGGACATCGCCACCACATATCGACCAGCGAACGCCCGTCAAGCTTAACTTCCCACATATCTTCGGACACACCGCAAGTCGAACTCGTTCTTCACTGCACGGAAGGAGCTGTAGGTTCACACTATCGATCACAATACGCTGTTCTCCAGTGTCTCTACTCTCGGGGACATCAAAGGACTCATCAGAGGTCTCGAACTTGCCGAACAAGTGAATCTCTTCGACATCCACAGCACAAGAAAGCGCGTTCTTCATCACAAACTCGACATAGATCTGTTCCCCTAAGACGTAGTTGTCGGGTTTCTGAACTGCAGCATTCTTTTTACTGCGATAACCAGCGTACAGATGTGAAGGCGCAAACCAGCTCTTGACTTCCACGTTGTTTCCAGTCGTAACATATTGATGCAGTCGGTTCTGCTTGTCAATCATGTCGCTAAGCTCTTGCCACGTCTCCGCTTCTGAAGCATTTCCATCGATAGATCGATCAATCCCGAACGCATTAGTCGCTGCAAACACAACAGTGGACTTGTCATCCAGCTCAGGCATGCACAAGTCCCTCACCAGTAGTTTCTGGGCGCTACCGTATCCATCCTTAATCAAGACAGGTCCACCTCGAGAGAATGAAGACGGAGACGCGTCAGCACGTTCTGTCGCCAAGAAGTCCTTGACCATCAGACCGAAATCGTACAGCATCGCTTCTTGCTGACTAGCCGAGTTACGACCAGTGCCAATAAGCTTCAAGAAAAGGTTAATCGAAGCCATGCGATCGTCCAATTTGTTCGCTTGTTGGGCAAGCATGAAGTTGATATGGTCTTCGACCAGGAACCAGCCGCTGCAGTCGTAGATAGCACGAGCCAAAGAGTAGCACCTCGCAGAGTGCTGTTCATGACCCAGAGAGTCGTATACATGGCCAGCCATAACCATTCGAAACCCGTATTTGCGGAATTTCGGCAGTCGCGCGCGGAGATCACACAACGCTGCACGCTCCATAAGCACAGCCGCACATATCCCTTGTTCCATTGTCGAGCCACGGATCAAAGCAGCAGACGCGTTGTCCATGTAATCCGTGAACAGACCTGACTTGCTCAACGCGTGGTAGATCTCGCCAGCAATCACCGCAGTACGAATAGCCATGCGTTGCGTTAGAGGAGAAGGTGTCTTGGCATAGATCGCATTGGCCGCGTCTAAAGCGTTGGTCATCTGCATAGGTGATCCCTTCGTGAGAAGTAGACAGACCGCAATCATCTCGTTCACATTGGCGCAATGAAATACTGACTTGTCTGATTTAAAGTCGTCACGTACTAAGCGATACATTTGCAACGCCAGCTCGTAATCTCGCACGAGGAACGCTGTATCGGCCAGAAGACGCGTCTGCGACTCAATTGAATCACTTTTATAAAGAACTCCACCTGACGAAGAAGTGTTCGAAGGGCGCAAGTCCTTTGGTTTACGCAGCCACGACTTGAACACGTTCTTCACACCTTTCTTCATGGCTGAAACCACCTCATTCAACTGGAAGATACGTCCCTCAAGCGACGACAACATGAACCGCAGTCCAAAATCACGTACAAATGTCTTGATTTGTGCCACATCATCTCTTGACAATAATGTACCCATTCCCTCAGTTACTTGAGGGAACGTTTCCGATAGATGAGGAAAAAGAGGAGGCCTCACGTACGGATTGTCCGTCCACACTGTCGAGAACTGTGACGGTACTGGAGCACTTTCAACTGGTAACGAATTAATCTTCAATACGGCTCCGTTGACTGTGGAAATGTTCATGCTTCTTAAGATCGCGTCAGGATCAATAGATGTGCCTTCTGTCTCCAGCACATCGTGTAAAACCACAAAGAACTTGGGGACCAGTGTGGCATCATATAGACCCATTTGAAACGGGGCTGGGAGGTTTCTGGGCGAGGTCAGTTCTTCGAAACTGTGGCGTGGGTTCGGGTCGGTGGAGCTAACAACCATTAGCATAGCTACTGGATGACACAAAAGACTGTACTCTTCACAGCGGAATGTATCCATCAGTGTGTGCTTGAACGAGCGGTACCAGGGCATGGGGTCGTTGCTGCCTTCTGCGTCAGCGTCTGCTCCGATGACGCGTAAGTACGTGGGGACATCGTCGACGTTGGTGACGCGTGGGATGTCCAGCTCCACAGCAGAGGCTGCGTCGTGTTGTGGCGGGTGGCGCTTGATAGTAGCGTTGAGCTGTTCAGTGGCTTCATTGACTCCAAGAGTATGGAACTGAGAAGCTGTCAGGAAGCGGAAGTTGAAGCGCGCGAGCTGGATCGGATGCGTTACGGAGCGCAGCGGTGTGTCGGCGTCCTCCAGGCGTGCGAAACCGTTGAGTAGATTGGCCACAGAGAGATTGTTCTTCTGTGCGATACGCTCGGCTTCTGACGTAGTGCATGTGAGCACCACTGGCGCAAAGGTGTCCTGCACCCAACTCTCGAACGACTCCATTACGGGTTCTTTGGGGGAATAGTAGTTGGAGTAAGGAATATCTAACCAATAATCCGAATTTGCCAAAATATATTATCGTGTAAATAGTTTGAGAGTCTCTTTTACTGTAAGAAAACATATCAGTTCTTATTCTCCAACAGGAATAACGTTAAGTAGAATGATTTTTCGTTAGACTATTTTAATAAAATAGTATTACCGATTACATAACCTGTACCCAAGTGCTATTTGCGTAATGGGGAGAAGTAATATTAAACTAGTAGTACTATATCACTGGACTATTGCATGTAATACCACCTAAAAATCTCGACAAAAATGGTCCCATCTGGGACAACGAGGACAACGACCACTAAATGGCCCGGGGCAAGAAGGAAGTAAAGGCATCAAATGCAGACATCTCCTAATGCTGGCCTACAGGTGTGTCTACACGGTATCTTGGATTCCTAATCAGCGACAGATTTAGCCACTTTAGTAAGACCAAACTGCCCGTTTGTGAGCATACGTAAGACGCATGACCTATTTTTTTCAACAAAGTTTTGAAGTTTATAGGATACCGATCTCCGACCTCCGATGCTCCGATTGCATGTACTAATTTTGAAGTCTCTCAGAGTGTCCAGCACCCAGAGCCAACGCTTCTTGCCAAACGGCGGCTAAAGGAGGAAGTAGGATACAGCTTGAACAACCGTATGGAGAGTATTTAGCTCAGAAAGAAGTGAAGCGTCTCACAAATGAAGCCACGCCAGGGAGTTCAGTATCCAGAATCCAAGCTCGGAGAGTTTCTCCTGTCTACTCTGTATACGTGGCCAATCGTCGTCTGGGTTGCGGAGTGCATCAGCCCCTATAAAAAAGCCCTTCTGTGTAGCGACTGGCCCCATGTGCACATTTCAGCTGAAGGAATACAAGCAACGAGTGGTAAACGATGTGGACAGTAAGTACCATCTTCTCTACATCAAGTATCAGTGCACTTGTCGCAATAAAAGGCTGTGCTCACTCGTAGAGAGCTCAGTCTAAGATGTGAGCTGGTAGCACTTAAGAGGAAGCAGGCGCTGAGTCGTATATGACGACGGAGTTGATGTACTTGTTGAATATGCTGTATTCGCTGTGCTGTTACACCTGCTTTACATGTTAGACTTGCTAGTGTAGTGTGTGGCCTCTAGCTCACGTGCTCTGAGGTCGCAGATAACCGACACACACTGCTTGGCCAAAGCAGTACGAATGTAGCCTTTTCACCTTTGGTTTTTTTTAAAGACTGAGGGCTCCAAGTCGTCGTGCTAGTTAGCACTCCAACGGTAAGCGCCCTACTGGTATCTTTAGTAAAACTAAGTCATAATGAAATGCACGCATGGCATTGGCCATGCTCGTTTCCTCAGCGTCAACGCTCATCTTGGGCTTCACGGGCAATTCCTGTCGTAAGGCATGCTGCTCCTATTGTCTTGCATCGTCGTGAGCCCCCGAGTTCGTTTTGATCATTAAACCCGTGACATGCCCTCCTCCAAGAGTAGACCCCGGTAATCTTGTTCGGCTGTGCCGTTTCTTTTTGTGTCGCTGGTGCTGATGATACCGAATAATTCGATCTCGCACGTATTTCAAATTCTCTTCTGGCTCCCAGGTCATTTTGGATTGGCCGAGCCATTTGACGTGATACTCCTTCTTTCCCTGCTTTCGACGATACCCCACAATGGCATCAGCATGCTCGCCCTCGGTACCATGGCGATGACACCTTAACAATCTCTTGATCTGGGCGGTCACCGGTGACGTATGGCTTCGGTAATGAGGTATGGAATACCGGATAAAATTTCACTCCAGTTGGTAGTTCAACGCGGTAGTAGTCGTGACCAACACACGACGGACCTATCCATCTTGGTCCCAGTTGTTTTTCGTGAACATTTGCTTAGTTGTTTGTAGACAGCAGCACGCGATCACCAACCGCGAACTCTTGTGTTGGTCGGCTGCGATCGTAATACTGGCTCATTCGGTCTTGAGCAGCCTGAAGCTGCCGTCGAATACGAGCTAATATATCTTTGTGCTGCTCCACAAATTCGTTAGCATGCTTGTATTCATCGTTGTTGAGTGATTGGTCGACCAGTACCCTCGTCCTGGACATGGCAGGGGTTGTAGGCATGTAACCAATGTCCGCTTCAAAAGGAGACAATCCTATTGAAGGTTACTACCTCGTATTGTACGCAAACTCTGCGAGAAAGATACATTTATCCCAGTTATCACTCGTGATGTTCCTAAATGCGCGTAAATAGTTCTCGATAGTCTGATTCACACGCTCAGTAATACCATTTGCTTGCTGACGGAACGCGATGGTCAGCTTCTGACGTGTACCCATCATATTACACAGCGACGTCCACAACGCTGACGTAAACTTCGTGTCACGATCCGATAGTATTTCTTCGGGTAACCTATCTAGTACATACACGCGGTCTCGATACAGCTCAGCTATCTCCCTATTGTAGTTGTTGGTAGGAAATGGGCTCGCTTTGCCAAGCGATCAATCACAACCAATATTGCATCATAATCAGTCGTCGTCTCAGGAAGTGCTACTATTAAATCCATCGCCAGGTGCATCCACCGTGCAGCTGGAATCGAATGAGATCGCAACAAACCTGGGGTTTTAGCATTTCGTCCTTTGGTTCTCTGGCATACTTCACACGATCCGACATACGGACAAATAGAACGCTCCATATTCCGCCAATAGTAGTCTTTTTCCTCGAGACGGAGTGTTCATTCGACACCAGGATGACCGTAACACTTGGCATCATGAAATTTGAACAGCATCGAATCAATTATCGCAGGGAAATGAGGTAAAACAAGTCGAGGATGCTTGTCGCTAGGCGCTTGGTAGAAAATATGCTTGTTTTGTCGACTATAGCGCTCGAAATGACGAACTCGAGGTTGTGTGGGCGTTGCATTACCTCCTAAGTGCAGATCGATCATCGCTGAACTCGTCGTCAGCGCATCGATCCGTTGCCTCTTTGACCAGACTCGCTAAGCCTTATTCAAGTCGCTCTCGAACTTGTCTTCGAGCTGTAATCGATGCCAAAGTATTTGTGTCTCGCACAAAATCAGGGCGGCGCGATATACCGTCGGCTAACGTGTTTGTTTCTCCTTTAATGTAGCGAAAATTAATTGGGTACTCGCTAAGCTCATCGTACTAGCGAGCTACTCGTCGCGAAATTGTTTTCCGAGTGAAAATAGTCTCCAGAGAGCGATGGTCAGTCTCAACGACGAATGGTTTATCCAGTAGATAGACCCTCCATAATCGAAGACCAAAACGAATCGCCAATAGCTCCTTCTATCGAATAATGTAGTTTTTCTCGGCGCTCTTATACTTCCTACCACCGAATGCAACTGGTCTCTCGACTACTTTGTCTCCTATGAACTCCTTTCGAAAAAGGACCCCACCGATGGCGTGATCACTCGCGTCTATACGTAGCTCAAAAGGATTCGAAAAAAAGGGAACAGCAAGCACTGGTGTCGAGCTAATTTTCTCCTTCAGCAACAGAAAGTGAGATTGTAGCTCATCACTCATAGTCCGTTTTGCAGCGCCTTTTAGCATATCGATCAACGGCCCAGTATCTGATGCGAAGTCGCGACAGAATCTCTGAACGTAGCTCGCAGTACCCAGGAACGACTGCAGTTCGCTCCTAGTAGGAGGTAATGACCAGTCACGAAGTATTTTCACTTTCTTAGGATCGATTTGCACTCCTTTGCACCCGACATAATCTCCTAGGCAGGGGATTTCATCCACACAGAAAACGCATAAGCTCAACTTCACGTAAAAATATTTTTTTCAAGTCTCGTTAGTACGCGATCAAGCGCCTTCAAATGGGTGTCCAACGATTGCGATCTTGTATACACATAGATATCGTCGAAATAGCTCTAGCAAATATCACTTAAGTCCGACAAGATACGGCGTATTCTTTCATTAAAGGTGGCTAAGGACCCATCGGTAACACTAGGTATTCGTAAGTGCCATCCGGGGTTTGGAAATCTGTATATAGTATATCACAGTCTCTCATCCGGAATTGATAGTACCCACTCAACAAGTCCATACACGAATACCAATAGGAACCTTGCATTTTTTCGAAGATAGTATCTTTCCTTGGCATCGGAAGGGTTCTTCGGACTGTGTGCGAGTTCATAGCACGATAAACATGCACTATTCTCCAGCCGACAGGCTTTTTGACGCAGAATGGGGTCGTTCCAAGAGGTGATTTGGAGAGGCGAATCAGCCCAACACCACGCATTTCACGAGCCCAGTCCATTATTACTTTTTCTTGAGCTGGAGACTGTCTCCCCTGTCGGCGAAATATCGCCTCCTGAGTGGCAACGTCCATCACATGTTCTCCATGTTCACGCGGTGGCAGGCACGACGGGAGCTTCTGCTTGAAGACAGCTTTGTGCTTCAAAAGCACAGGATAGACCGGCTGACTACGAAATGCATCAATATCAGCGACTTCGGGGGCTTCGCCATTTTCTTTTTCAGGTTTAGGTCGAATAACAAAGATACACTCAATGTTTTTCGGCTTTCGTAACATGCGTCGAAATTGCTTCGACGTTTTCGAACTTAAGTGAATACATGTCTCCAACTTCGCGTGTCACTTGCGCACACCCCAGACCTACGAGCGGACTGCGAGGACGTATTGGTGGCCAGACATGCGCGGTCAGGTCAAGTACTGGGTCCGCAACTGTCGCGACTGTGCAGCGAGGAAGACAAAACCGAAGGCGGTGATCCCGCCACTCAGAAGCCAAGGCGTGGGAGCAATGAGCGACAGATGGACGTTGGACGTCGCGGAACCGTTGCCCGTGACAGCACGCGGCAATCGTTACATGGTAGCAGCTGTAGATTCCGCGAGTCGATACGCGGTTGTGGTGGCCAACCCCAACACATACAGCCGAAGATATAGCGAGGTTCATTGCGGGAGAGTGGTGCTGATCTACGGGCCGATGCGTGAACTGGTGTGGATGCTGCGCCGGAGTTGAACGGAAAGGTC